TATCGTACATGTGAGAAGCAGGCTCAAATACCGACAATCCCAATTAGTCCTCCGCTGTATCCCATGCTCCGCCTATATCCTCCGTCCTGTGCCTGAGCCAAATAATCCTTTATCCCTTGTTTGTTCGGTCGGGTATAAGGATATCTATATGCTCATTTGCAAGCGATTTTCGTAAGGCCAAGCATTTTGACGAAGTTGGCGTGCTTCTCGTAATTTAACGGCTTCGTGAGTCCGTCAGCAGGCATGTCATGTGTTCGGATAAGTTTGAGGTTGAACAAGCCGTTTTTGACTTGATCGATGATCCACTTGTATCGTAGATCGATGTTCCTGGTTCGCGCCTGGTTTAGTGGATTCGTTACGTTGATCAGCGCGTTGCGGGAATCAGTAAATAGGACCGTAGGACGAGGTTGAGTGCAGCCGAGAAGTCTCAGCAGCTTATGAACCCATTGGACCGAAAGTCCCGTTGGAGTAAGGTTAATGAATTCAGCTTCCGTGGAGCTGGTTGTGACGTAAGTCTGTTTCTTCGACTTCCATAGCACTGGGCCACCGGCAAGGATAACGACGTATCCTCCAGTGCTCACTCGGGTAAGGCGACAGTCGCCAAAGGCCGCGTCGCTGGCAGCATGGAGTCCGAGGTCATCAATAGGCATAGAAGCGTCAAAGGTGATGCCGAGGTCGACTGTGCCAGTGAGGTATCTCATGAGGTGCTTGATTGCTGCGAAGTGGTGCTCACCAGGGCGGCTGTTGGCTTCGCAGAGTTTGCTAGTTGCGTAAGTTATATCGGGGCGCGTACCGGTCGAGAGGAAATTAATAGAGCCTGTCATTTGCAAGTACAGCTTGCAACGGTCAGTTTCAACTGGTTCATACTCAACTGGCCACTTGGCGACGATATTGTGATCCATTGGTGTGCGGACTGGATGGAGGTCCACGTATCCGAACTTCTGAAGCATCCTGCGACAGAATTCGGCTTGTGATAGGTGGAGGGTCTTGGCTCTCTCATTGCGACAGACTTCGTAACCTAGGAATCTCTGAACGTCTCCCAGTTCTTTCATGCTGACAAATGACTTAAGGAGATCCTTGACTTTGCGAATAGTGTTCCGGTCTGGAGCAGCGATGACGTTGTCATCAACATACATCAAAACAATGCAGTTGTACTCGTCATGGATAAAAAGGCAGACTTCGCCTTCAATAGCTCGAAAACCGAGGTCAGTCATGTGACCTTTGATCTTGTTGAACCACCATACAGGTGCCATGGGGTGGCCGTAAAGGGCACGCTTGAGGAGGCAGACTTTGTCTCCTTGGCGATAGCCATGGGGCTGCTGGACGTACACCTTGGTATCGTCCGGGATAGAGGCGTGAAGAAAAGCTGTGTCGTAATCGAATAACTCTGCGATGTAGGTCTTGGTTGCAACAACAGCAAAGAAAACACGGATAGAGGTTGCATTAGCGACAGCTGCGTACAATTGTTCAGCGGACCAGTCAGATACCGCGTGGTTGCCACAGACAACCCATCGGGCACGATATCTGCCGTCAGACTTGATATCGCATATCCATTGGCCAGGAAGAATCTTTTCTCCGGTTGGAGGTTCAACGAGTTCCCAGGCTTCGGCTTGCTGTAGCGCCTTGATTTGCTTATCAAAAGCAGGTTGCCACTTGTCCCACTCAGGACCCTCTTTGGCCTGCTTGAAAGTGCGAGGTACGGTTGGACCAGCGAGTGCGGCAGCGGCGATGGCAGATAATACTGGAGGCTGGTTGTCTTCCCACACAACTGTGTCAAGGCTGACATAGGCTTGTTGATAACCGTCAGACTTGGCATACGTGTTGCCTCGGAGAGAGCAACCGCTGAAACCGCCCCTCTTCTTGACCCAAGTGCCCTGTGAGTTTCTGACATGCTCACGTGTTGAGGCTCTGTTTGGTTGGCTTGGAGGAGGGCGAGATTGACGAGTTCGTCTAGTTGGTTGTGTTGTAGGTTGAAGATCGTGATCTTCTGTGGCAACTACTATAGTTGCTTCATCTATATCCTGTTGGATAGCTTCTTCGATAGCGTTATCGAAAGATGTATCAGTATCGTGCTGTTGAACAGTTATGTTAGCAGACATCTGCTGATCAATAGGGCTGTCTGGTTCAGGGGTTGGAAGAGGGTTTTGGGTAGTTGCCTCTTCGGCAGACTTGTTGTCAGTGGTTTCGTCCTGGCGGTCAGGAGTGCTGGACGACTTCTGTGCTCCTTCATACTCAACAGATGAGGTGCTGGTGTCTGGATCAGCAAAAATGGCATCGTGATCAATGGTTGGGTCATTGTCTTCGTCCTGGTGCTTGCCCTGTTCATAGAAACGAACATCGCGGCAGCGGTATACCTTGTGGCTTTGAGGTACGTAGACGTAGAAGAGATGGCCGTGAAGTGAGTCGTATCCAACGAGATATCCCTTGATGGCTCTTGTCTCCATCTTGTTGGCGCGGGCTGGTTGCAATGACCCCTTGCGGTGGAGATAGGCAACGCAGCCGAAAGTGCGGATATGGTGGATATACGGTACGTGATGGGCTTCGTCAAGATTGAGATCTTTCGCGAGCATCTCGTGGGGGCTGAGATGGCCTGGATTGGTTGCTTTGGGCAACAGGTTGGCAATCGTGATGACTGTGGTGACGGCATAGTCCCAGAGATAATCAGGAAGGTTGGCGTCAATCAGCATGGTTCGGGCCGCCTCTGCAAAAGTCCGGCCAGCTCGCTCTGCCTTTCCATTCATGCTTGGGGTGTCAGCAACAGTCAATTTGACTTTAATGCCTCGTTTGGTGTACAGCTCCTGCGAAAGAGCATTGAAAAGCTCGGTGCCGTTGTCTATTTGAAACGCCTTAATCGAAAGGTTGGTCTGGTTTTCGAAGAAGTTGATGAATTCTTCGATACGATCAAGCACTTCGTCAGCACGCTTGCTCTTGAGCAAGTATCGCCACTGGAAGCCTGTACGCGCGTCGATCATGTGAATTAGATAACGTGACTTTGTATAGGACAAGGGTTCGAATTGTACCAAGTCCATGTGAATGAGATGACCGGGCTGGGCCTCTCGAATGGGGGTTTCTCTGCTGATGAGTTGTTGAGATTTGCCTAGGTGGCAAGCCTCGCAGTGAAAGGTGTCAATTTCTTGTTGAGGAAAAGTTATGCCCACACGACGGCAGGCTTCAACGACCCTGCTCTTGCCCGCGTGGCAAAGTCGCTTGTGCATAAGGTCAAATGTGACTTTGTTGTTATTCTTGCTTACCATAGCAAGGTTAAGGGCCGCGTTAATTTTCGGGCCTTCGTAGTTGTTGGTGACGATAACGGCAACATTGTTATGCCAATCGAGTTTGGCGATCGCGACGTTGTTTCCAATGTGGATAGTGTCGTCGCTGACCTTGTAGCCCTGCTGACGGAGTGTGCCTTGACTCAGCAGGTTGACTGGGCAGTCAGGGCAGTACTGTACATCCTCAATTGACCAGTCGACCACCTTGTTGCTGTCATCTGGATCAACGGCAGTGAAGTAAACCGTGCCGTAACCAGCTGGCGATGCGTACTGACCGTTGGCGACTTCCATGGGTGGCAGTATTGCCTCGGTGAAGGAGGTGAACCAACTGAGGTTGTTGAAAGTGGTTCGCGAGCACCCGGAATCCAGGATAATGTCGTCACGGTTAATTCTGCCCGTTGCCATCGAAGTTGAGCACGGCAAGACTGTATGTCCCATTGTGTTCTGGTGGAGAACGTTCGGCGTAGCCTTGACCGCGACTGCCTTACCCTCCCGGCATTCGGAGGTACAAGTATGAGCAGCAGCTTTCTTGAGCAGGTTCTCACGGTACTTATGGTTGGACGGGATGAGGTCGGGATGGGCGACCCAGCAAGAGGTAGTCGCATGTTTCTTGCCGCAGTGTTGGCAGTCAGGACCATTGTAGTTGTTGTTAGGTCGCTGATTGTTGTTTGAGGTGTTACCGGAGGCCTTGTTGTTGCCGTTGCTGTTGTTTCCAACGGCGACGTAGCCCTTCGCGGCATTGAGTGAAGCAGTCCTTTCGGCATTGGCCTTGAATGTGAGATCGCGTGTGAGATCTTCAAGAGTCTTGGTGTTGTCCTCGACGTACTTGTCGTAAAGTGCTGGATATTCTTGTTGGCATCCGTTGAGTAGGATGAACATGGCTTTCTTGTGCCAAGAGGGGACCAGCTCATCGATACGACGAATGAGATACTGGCCGCGCTGGAGATACTTATGGGTATCTGAGAAGTCCTTGCGCTTGAGTTTGCAGAGCTCTCGAACGAGCTCGGCAATGGCATCCTCTGAAATCTTGGGGATGATGGTCTTCAACTTATTCATAAGGAAGAAGGGGTTGCGGTCGGCAGTCTTGATGTCGTATCCATCAGCGAGGAGACGATCGAGGACTTTGCTGATTGATGCGATGATGATGCCGTACGTTTCAATGCGCTGGCTCTTCCAAGTAGTGAAGGCCACAGCCTGCGCTGGAGTGATAGGATCATCGCGATGGGGTTGAGAGACGTCTTCATCGACGTACTTCTCGTAATCGAGAGTCTCAAGGGTGAGATGCAGTACTGCGTACCATTGGTCCCAATTTTCTTCTCCCTTGAGGTCGGGCACCTCCCAGCGGGCGCGGTTGCCAGCCATGATGAGGATGGAGGTGAAAGATTCGTGATAGTGTGTGTATAGGTGTAGACGGCCTGTACGGTCGCGTCTGTTATTGTTTTTTTTTTTTTGAGGAATCTGTACCTCTGCCGTTGCCAGTCGCGACGCCGCGATCTCTGGTCGACAGATTAGTAACTGCTCAATTGAACGGGCTCTACGCAGAGCTGGGCGATCAATTCATATGGGGTAAAAAGAAAAAGAGTCAACGCTGGGCTCTCATAACCTGTGGAGGCAATACTACTGTATTGGATCTGATGATGATGATAGGAAAAGCTGAGCGCTGGCTGGGCTGGATATCTGGGCAAGGTGTAGGTGGGGCAGCTCCGAGATGTGAAGGAGCTGCCTCACGTGACCCACCTGCACCTGCCACACGTTAGGTTAAATGGGCACCAAGCCGTTTTATGCACCTTGATCAACCATCTTCCGAGGCTTTCTCAAGCTGCTCCCTGATCTTGGCCACACTTGATTCTCCATCCTGAACGTTGCCCAACGCGACAGTCTTGTCTCTGGACTTGAGTCCTTGTATGATTGCGAGGTCTGATTTGAGAACGCCCAAAACCTGAAATTAATTTAGCACTATGCGACAACGACACGGAACCGACCCCAAGCCTCGATGAGTCGATGTGCTCCTGCTGCTTGAAATAGGAATATTTAGAGCTGAAATAGTACACATACCCCACTGAGCAATTTCACGACAGCTTTATTAGCTTCGCCTTCCTTTGCCTGTGCTGAAACGCATAGTTCTACGGTCGCGTCTGTGACGGCTGTGACCCCTTCGCGAACTCGGGAAGCGCCAGGTTTCACATGACATTGTAGATACAGAGTACCTAAGGGTGACTTTTTGGTGCCTGCCACAAATCGAATCGCTGACGATGCCATATCGTTTTTCTAATTGTATTACTGTGGTGAGGGACGTGGAGTTTGAGTGTTGTGGTGTGGGTTGAGTTGCTGTGGAGAGCATGGTTCGGATGAAGAAGCCTGATTGGCCCCTAGAATGCATGCCACAAGAATCTGTCACATTAACTGACAACCTATCATACCGTATCACAAAGCGAGGTAGCAAGTGGAAGACATGTATAGTAGAAAGCGGCTTGATTCCTCTAAGTGGAAGATCCGTATGAGGGTTATATCTATATACCGTACAAGACGGGTAATCGGCTTGTGGAAAGCGGTATCGTACGGCAGTAACCGGCAGCGCCACGTGTGGCGCTGCGACATACCGGCATGTACGGAGTACTTTGAAGCTATGACGAATTGTCGATCTCCTCTTCCTTAGCCGACGTGCTCTTCATTAAGGATCATCCAAAACGTCGGCAAGCCCTTGATCCAGCACCCGAAATGCTCAAGAGAGCGCATATGCAGAAGCCAATCCATGTCTTCTCGCAGTCTAAGACTGTTTGACTCGTTCTCAGGCTTATGAATCAAGTTCCAAACCTGGAAAGCGTGCCGGCTATCCTATTGACTGCTAGATGGCGTCACTACATCCGTCTCCAGTCTTTCTCTAAGTTTAATCTATTTCGAGATTATTCCTAGGCGGATATTAGGAAAATAGAGTAAAACTAGAGAAAGACTGGAGACGGATATAGTGACGCTATGTACCTTAGCAGTTGATGGGATTGTCGGATTGGAAGTCCAATTCGACCGCGGATAAGGGCAAGAGCATGGGCCACCTCGAGGTGGTATAATTAGACCGCGACTACCCAACCAATCTACGGTTAGAATCTCCTGTTACGGCCAGCTAGTCGTAGGGGTAGTTTGCAGAAGTTGAGGCTGCGGAACTGGTAACAGTAATCGTAGTCGTGGAATAGTTTCAAGGAAACTATGTCTGTCAATCGTAAGGGTAGGTAAGGCTTCGGTGATCAATCGTAGTCTTGTCAAGGTAGTAGCTGAAAGCGGATGTTAATCCTGATACGAAGTTAATTGCTGAAGAAGCTATGGAAAGTCTGTCCTAGAGCCCAGCTCGAGTCCATCCTTATATACAAGTCCGATCCTAACTGAACAGTGCTGTACAGTCCACTTTGTCTGGATATGTTGGATATGCCGAATATCCAACATATCCTTGACTCGGTTGGATATGTCGAATATCCAACATATCCTTGACTCGGTTGGATATGTCGCATATCCAACATATCCTTATCCCTTATCATATCTCTTATCATCACGTGACTTGTACCATAGTTCTTCCGTTCCTGGGGTTTCCCCAATGTTCCGTCCCGTCCTGCATATATGATGCGCCGTAGCCGCTAGGCGTCAGCGGGGCACGCCCTGGTCTTCATGTTGGGTCGTAACACCTGTGGGGCGGGCCCCCTGGCCTTGTTATGCATGTTGGGTTGTAACATCTCCCTTTTACACATTACGTAGAATCAATTAATAGAGATATTAATACTTCGTCACCCCTAGGACCCTATAGTTCGAACTAACTTCCTTATAATAGGGATATTAATACTAATTAATAGTTAAATTTCACTATTATAGGTTAATAAGGCATCTGTTACGAGCTGGACAAGGCAACCAACTGTGGCACAAAGCAAAAGCTTCGATAATGATGACTCCGGTCATCATTGTCCCTTGTTCTGCATATATAGCTACGCGCCCACAGTGACAAGTTGCGGCGGGCGTAACAGCATCTTATAAAAGTAGAAGAGACGACTCTCTAATACTAAACGGGATAGAGGAATCGTGCTCCCTTAACCTCTCTGTTACGGTCAGCTAGTCGTAGGGGGTTGTTCGCAGAAGTTGAGGCTGCGGTACTCAGTAACGGTGTCGTTCGTTCTCGTGATGTAATAACCAGATGTAATAATCAATGATTATTATACGTCGCGGGTGGATAGCTTCCTGGAAGCTATATCTGATGTCGTGGCCCAAGAGCGCATGCTCAATGCTTTGAAATTTGACGAAATGAACCATAGGTTCGACCAAGTCTCCGAAGCGCACGCCAAGACCTTCAAATGGATATTCTCCGACGAAAAAAACGAAAAAGACTTCTCTGTAGAGGGAGAGAGTGAGGGAGAATATTCCGAGAAGGCCGAACAGGAGGAAGAACTTCCACATAAGAAACAACGTAGAGAAGACTTGCGCGAAGAGGAAGAATCCGAGGATGAACCCTCCAAAGGCAGAGAGAGTAGGGAGGAGTTCTACGGAGAGAAAGGACCCATACCCGAAGAGGAAGAATGTGAAGAAGGCAGCTACGAAGAGGAAGATCGCCAAGAGAAATACGAACTCGAAAAGAAGTGGCGTGAAGAAGCACTCGCTAGAGAGAAACAACACGAAGAGGAAAGGCGAGAGACCAGGAGAAGATTTTTAGACTGGCTTTCTGTTTCACGTTTCTGCCAAGCTTGGTGCAGGGAAATCAACCCTGATGAAGCTCATCATAAACAATCCGCATGTTCAAGACAGGTTACAGCAATGGGCTGGTAAGTCTTGCCTTCCATCACCAACCATTTGCTTTCTGACACACGTAAAGGTGATTCGCGACAGCTCGTTCTGGCAATTCTTACCTTCAGAAATCATTCGACGGCATGTGCCGAGCCTTACTTTATGGTGCAATTGATGGCCGACCTGAGTTGACACGTCTACTTTTCCCATCTCACTGGAAGGCCGCATGGTCCGCTCCTTGGCAAGCAAGCAAAGAGCTTATAATTCATCACACAGAAGTCCGAGAAGCACTAAAACTCCTAGTTGATCATAGTAAGGCGAATGAGACTTTTAGCTTTTGCTTCTTCATCGACGGCCTGGATGAACTGGAGGAGTCCACGGATTTCCAGCATCGCCATTTGGCAGAGACTCTGAAGGAATGGTCAAGGCACAGCTCTGCGAACATCAAATTCTGTGTCTCGAGTCGAGAATACAGCACCTTTCTCCATCATTTCCAGCAAGAGCAGAGGATCCGTTTGCACGACTTGACAAAAAGAGACATGGAAAAATACGTGAAAGATGTGACTAGAGGCGTTCGAAATTACGGCACCCCTGAAATCAATCTTGATTCAATTGTCAAGCCTCTTGTGGACTCAATCGTTGACAGGGCCCAGGGAATATTCCTCTGGGTTAAATTGGTTGTCAATGACCTGTGTAACCAGATGGAGAACGGATCTCGACCAGAAGACTTGCACCTTGAGGTCGATAAACTCCCCGAAGGCATTAACCATCTCTTTCATCATTTCATGACCTCCATCAGCCATGGCGCGAGTCAGAAAGCGTACCAAACACTAGACATGATTCTCAGGGCTAACGAATGGTGGATAATGATTACCCTTCTGATTACCCTTCTGGCATGGAATTTCTTCGAGGTGAGGGAGAAAGCTCAGCCGGCTCTTTCCTCTGAGTCTTGAAGTTCAAGACCAGTAGATGATTTCAGAGATGTGGAAGTTTCGAAGAAAAAGCTGAACAGCTGTCTCAGAGGGCTAGTCGAAGTTGCGTTCATAGGGGCCCATGGTGATAGGCACCTAGCGCGTTACTACCAGCTAAGGGTGGCTCACCGCTCCGTTGCAGACTTCATCGTTCAAGAGAGGAAAAGTGGAACACGTTGTCTGAGCGAACTTGACACCTTGACCGCCCTATCCTATATTACTGTCTCTTCCTGGCGTCACGAAGCAGACTATACAGAGGGTGCGGAGTGTTGGTATGGTGACAATGTCGCTGTACTTTTGCAAATGAGGATAGAACGCTTCTCGGACACATCAAACTTGGAATTTTTCGAGGGTGTTGCGTCTTTGGTTGGAGATTATGATCTGATATCTGAACGCCTCAGTACGCCCTTGACAGTGCGAATCGTCTCAATCATGGCGAGACTTACAAATTCACCGTGCCAACGCACATACTTGTCCACAGAATGCAGACACGAGGAGCCTAAGATAGATGATGACGAGCCAATACTTCGGCTCTCTAGCCTCCGACACATTCTCCTTCAGACTGGTTACGACACGTATGAGATATCAAAGCTACAGACGACGCAAGGCACTGCTCAGAACCCAGAATGTCTCATTACTTGCGAGCTGCATTTTCACCCACTTCATGAACTTAGTTCACATTAAGATTCAATACAGTGATCTCATGGAAACTCCATGTCCATTCGACCCCGAGTTTGGTGTGGCTGTGATCGGCAGCTTGCTTGACCAAGGACATTTGTTTCCGAATTTCGGAATGCATACTTGGTTATGGCCCCTAGTGGAAGAACCGGAAATCATTGGTGACTGGCGTCCGACTCTCCTGGAAGTCATGCGTCTATCCTTCAAGTTGCCGGTGGCGACCTCACTACTCCGATTCAGGGCATTCTTGAGCGCCTACTTCGACACAAGGGCAATCTTTGTTTCACGCTAGAAGTAAAGATTAACGAGGCTGGGGCATATTCAGTATCACTGGAACGCCCGGGAGTAGGCAAGCGTCGCCTTTGTCTCGCTGGAATGTCGATGGGATGGAAAGGAGCCATGTGTCAAGGGCGGTAGGAGCAATGTTGCAACTCGTACTTCCTTTCTCAACTGAGATAGCTAGGTCTACGTGTCCTTTTATCTGCTGTTACCCTAGTGTCTCCCTTGCATCCACCTGGATCCACCTGGATGTCTTACTATCAAGCCGAGCATAGCCGAGAGCATCCCATGTGAAGGGCTCGGCTCGTAACACCATGCCTAAAATGGTACGAGACCAAAATGCTTGGAACTTGGGAACCGAGACAGATCATCGAAATGTCTAGTTTCACAAACAAAGAAACTTTGCTGCAGCTCATGGATGATCAACTCAGAGCTGAGCATACAGAGATCGAAGATGCAGCGTCAATTATTCAGGATGATTTGGAATCACAGCAAGATTCAGCGGATGATTCTCTGCGAGCAAAAGATTTGCAACACGACGAAAATTTCTCGGACATTGCTGATGCGTTGACCAGAGAATCATGTGAGGTTGAACAACTTATTGCAGCTGGGGGAGAACAATTATCAAAAACTGCTCGACAAGGTGAATTCATTTCGCATCCGGTAGTTTGGGCATTCATAGGTTTGTTGACCCCGAAAAGGCGCACCGTCGAACTGATAGAACTATGCTAATGTCTGATGCAGGTACAACTCTGCAGATATGGCTTGCAGTATAGATGCAGGTCTTTTAAGGATTCTGGCGATGCTTGAAGGAGCGTTAATCAATTTGGTATTCCCATCGCTTTCTTCCCATGCTGTCAGGCCTGTCAATCTAATACAATTTTGTGTCGCTTGCTTGTCAAGAGTTGTTGGCTTACAAAGAAGCCTGTTGCGTCTGCTGCCCAGTGTTTGCAACAACTCTTTCCGCTGTATTGGCCTGCGAAGAATGGGATCGAAGCCCTTCCTTTTCAAGAAGTGCAAGGCGATTCTCCGCATGCATTCTCTTAGTGGTGATCCTCTCAGGGTAATTCCTTAGGAACATGTTGGTGAAGTGAGTGCCGTAGTGAATGCCCTCCTTGGGAGACTGGCCGACATCGTAGCCTGGCAGAGGCTTGGCAACGGCCTGGAAGCTGGGCTCATGGAAGTAGGCGAAAGCAAAACGATCGCGGGTGTTCAGGCCGACCTTGTGGGGAGTGGAGGGCAGATAAGAGTTGGTGATGTACTGCATGATGTCACCAGGGAAGACTGTGAAGACGTTGGGAACGGGAGGCACGTAGTGCCATCGGTCGTCCTCCTCCGCCATTCCAGCTGAGCTCTTTTCCCAGTTTGCGTAGTTTTCACCTTCGTATGGGGGACGGATGAAGAGGCCTGAACAAGTATGTCAGTTTCCGTCAAGTCGGACTTGAGGATGGTCTTGACTTACCACCAACATCATCCTGGGCAGCGATCACCAACAGACCATAGTCTGTGTGAGAGCCGATACCACGTCCAGCCTTGCCCTTGCCGTTTGTGTTATGGGTCGGAGGGAATCTAATCGGATAAGTGTTAGCAGACAGTTGTCCTTTAGTTGCTACTGTGAATGTGGCTAACCTGAGAATCCGCATGTGATGCCAGCCGTCCTGAGTCAGGTTCGTGAGGGAGCCGGCGGGCACATTCAAGCCTAGCTCAGCAAGCTGGAGCAACTTCTCTCCACTTTCCCCGAGGTAGTCCATATAAGTAGTCATGGGCTGTTTCATTTCGTAGTCGGGCCAAGGGGCCGGGCCGTGGCAAGGCCACTTTGCGCGAACGCGGGGTTCAGCGAGATCTAAGTCTTTAGTGACGGTGAAGATCTCAGAATAGTCGGCAATGCCATCGGTTATTTCCTCGCCTGAGGCGATATATCCCGAGTAACTCTGAGAGTCAACACATGCGGCCTTCTCGTCATGGGGTTTGGCAAAGAATGCCTTGCTTGAGGCCGTGGCTTTATTGAAGATGTGCTGTTGCTTGTCGTTCATTGAGACTTGGAGGATACCATCACGGCGCCAGGCATCAACCAGAGCTTTTCCCATGGCGCGATCGCCAGGGCTGCCGGTGACACGCTCAGGAAGTGCGAATGTCTCAAGCTGAGCTACTGTGGCTTTGTGTCCCGGAGGCATTGTGGCAGCCATCCGGGCGAGGTTGTGGTCTGTGACGGTTGCCAAGTGACGACTGTGGCCAAGAGCTGACTTCCGCGGCCCGCGGCGAGCCAGTATACTCAAATACTTCGTAATGGTTGACATGTTTGTGACGAGTTTCCAACCCCAAGATATTGTCACTAGAGTTCCGTGAAAAACAAGATGCTGAGAGAATAGCGTTGAGAGATCTGAATTTCAGGATCTTCACGGCTCATCTGCCCTCTTTATACTTGGCATTTCACTCCCTGTATCTCATCGTAGCTTCTGCCAAGTGGCTTCGGCATGCAATTCACATGCTGTAGGCACGTTTCCATTGTCTCGAGAGCTGCAGAAACAGTTTAGGTTTCCTTCGGAATTGGTGAGGTCTCGTTCATATCATATGCTTGAACTCAATTCTATCACATTTTTTGACCAAGGGGCGGTGCTTCAGGACTCAGGGGGCATTGGGACATGCCTGTTCGGAATCGACTTTCCGTTTTAGCTGGTAAATACCGCAGACATCAGGGAAGCCACTGACGATGCTTGGCTCTTTCATGGGCCAGGGCACAATATCTTCGGCGGGCTAAGGTAGAGGTGGAACCCGTGTTGAGGTCTCCAGAAGGCCCACTGAGTTGCCGGGAGCACAAGGAGTTGTCGAGTCAAGAAGATCAGGTTTCGCAATGTCCCTTGCAATCTCGCAATAGAGCATCCCCACGATGGCTCACATTTTTGATAGATGCCAAGGAACCCACCGGCAGCTAGCTCTAATAACTAGGACTTCGTTTTCATTAAAAACGTTTGAGGAATGGCAGAAAACTTTCAGAAACCATACCTTCTCAAAAAGTAATCCAAGAGACTATTGCCAAGTCTGAAGTCCACCAGAATGAATTGTCAACTCAACCAACAAATCTATGAACCAATCAAGTGTTTGCGAAGTTTTGAGATGCAGTCAAAATGTGATCAAAGCTTTGGTTGCATTGAGCTATTAATCTAGGGTAACGTGCATAGATCGATTCGTCAGAGACTGGTTTGTGCACTCCTGCAACACTGAGTGTTGGATTCGTCGTTCTCGCCGCTTCTGCGACAAGTTACCGAAGAATCCGGGCTTGTCCTGCGCCAGCCGCCAAGGACCAGCTTCCATGGGACCCACGGAGGTTTAGACTTTTTTTTCTGCCCACAGCTAAATGAGGTTCGCCCCAGTTGACACGAAACCTTAAATGATGGCTTGGGACAAGACTGGTCTCGCTTACGGATCGAGAGAGTTTCGCGGGCGTTACCAGGCGAGCGGTTCAACAATCTCGAGGCTCGGCAGAGGTTTAAACGTTCTTTGATTAATAGGAGGCGCGAGTCATAGCTGAAATCTTTTTCACGAGGGCTAAGAGATGTCTGAGTCTCGAATCTCGCGTCCGGTCCGTACCCAGGACGCTTTTTCTGTTACCACCATCTCCGGGCAATTACCCCGGACACGGACTTGAGTCATCCCGCGTGGATGTTCCAAAGTGAGAGCTGAACGCAAATCATGATTCGTGGACCTCACAACTTCATCCCTTTCGAAGTAAACCTTGCCTTTTCTGGAACTCCTGTGCAGCACAGCCGAGGCCGGCGGGCCGCCAAGTTGTCACCTTCGACAGCACCTCGGTAAGATCCGTATCATAGACTCTGTTCATACGAATGAACAGGATTTTCGTGGATCAACTTGAAAGAACATCCAATCGTGGGCGCACAACGTCAAAATGCTCTTTCAGATATAATAATGGGTTCGAATGTGGGCGGGCACGTGCATGATTTGCGAGCCTGGTTGTCTTGAATATCAGCCAGAATCATACGGTCAGTTGTCAACTCTTCAGTGGTCTCCTTAGCGTTATATTGCAACACTTTCAGATAATATGTAACAGGTTCACAAGCCGTCTCGTTGGGGTATGTATGCACAAGCTCAAGGTCTCTCGGTGCAGGGCCTCCTTCAGAGTCCGAGTTTCCAGTCACGGATCCCTGTCAACAGGGATGATGCTAGTCCAAATCTAGGCGAGACGTTCGATTCGTCAAAAGCTTGGATTCCCATGGACTTGGGGTTAAGATGACTGTTGGAACAGCAAAGGCTGATAAGGAGTAATAGGCAGGTACCATGGGCTGGCTGGCACCTGCCCTGGGCGAAGTGGGACAACTGGCTTAGTCATCACGGCCGGATAAAGGTGGGGCAACCACCCAGGCCGTCACCACCTACTTCGACCGACCCCTGCCCACAATGTAATAGGAAGGAAGAACAACAACAGCAATTATCACGGACATCGACGTGATTATTGCTACCACTATTTGTCGTATACGACCCCGTGGAACCATCAATGACAGATCTTTTCCATCATTACTTTGAATTTCACGGTCTATAATATGCTCAAATCACTCAAGATTTGTTGGAAACAGGTTGTCTAACTCGAAGCTGACAAGGTACTTTTGCCAAGTAATTGAGCGTAGAAGTCAAGTCTTCTCGTGGATGGGAAATAACGTATGCTGGTACAGGCTCTTCGCAATAACGAGTCTTTGTGTTCTAGTTGGGACGAATGGCTGGCTGGATTCATGGGTAAGGTAGCAATGGGTAAAAAGTAAGTAGGTAACACTCGCTGCATGAACGACAACCCTAGAGGTGTTGAGACGTCCCTGACTCCCTGTGTACAGTGCAATACTCCGTAGACACTTTAGGCGCTAGTGGCCAGACAGAAAAGTCGCCGTTCGGTCCGATCCTAGGAGTACGGACATCGAACAGGGTGTATCTAACGAGTTGAGTTCTTCATCAACACAAGTTCGTTCGCTGTACAGACTGGAACGCACTGAGCTCAACGCTACTCAGTATTACAGTACTTACTTCTGTTCTCAAAAAGACAAAGGAAATTCGCAGGCATCCTTCGAGCCCATATTTGTATGTGTTGATGATGATGATGATGATGTATTTAACGTCTGGTAACAAAAGGACGTGCCGGGCGCAATGCCGACATGGTCTATACTAATCTAAACTATATTACAGGCTACCGTCTTCACCTAACGTTCCTGTTCAATGACTCGGGCAAATTTCGGAAAAGAAATTGGTCTCCTCTATCTATTCGCATAGAAGAGAGGCTCCCTTAGCAGAACCTAATAAGAAATCAATGCTTGCTTTAGCCATACGTTGGCGGAGGTAGCGCGGTGTAGCCTTGCGTCCACGCTTGCAGAAGTAGAAATGGACTGGTGTCTTGGGTTTCCCACAGCTGCAGTTGAGCAACGCATCTTGATGAGCTAATCTCTCGTGGTATGCTGCAAAGTCTCCATGATGGGATCTTGCTGCGTATAGCCTTCCTAGTAAGTGCCGAGGGAGGCGGAGTTCGGGCGGCTTGGGGTGAAGAATTATCTCGAGGTCGGCATATTGCCGAGGGCATTGGGACAGCCATTTTCTGGCAAAGGCTTGGAAGGCAGCTGCTTTAGCTTGCCTTTCTAGGTGCGCTAATGAGGGCTGTGGTTGTGATTTTGGGATTAGTTTGCAGGCTTCCTTGGCTAGAGCGTCCGCTTCTTCATTTCCTGGTACTCCCGTGTGCCCAGGGCACCACCAAACATAAACCCTGCCGGGGGTTGTCCAGCTCTCTCTTTGTCTCCGAGTCCAGGAGGAAGAGAGCCTATTGAAGGCCCTAAATCTAGCCTGGCTGCTTCCTGTGCTCTGGGAGTATAGTCTAGCCGCGACTGCGAGGTTGTCGAGGCAGATGTGGACGTTATCTGCCATACGAGCCGTAGGAGCCCGGGTGGCTTCCATCAGGCCGTGATACGCAGCATGTGCCTCCGCGTCATACACCTCAGTTTGGGACCCGAGTGGTTCGGATCCGCGGAAGATCTGCCGTGTAGCTTGGTACCCTACCCAGCCTGCTCCGGCGGAGGTGCTGCTGCCGTCCGACATCTGGGACCCGTCAGTGTAGACAACAATGTCCCGCTTGGAGAAAGTTGCCATCCTGCCTGCAAAGGAGAGGGCCTGTTCTTCTTTGGTCTTATTAGGTTCGTAGCCGACCCTTGCGAGGGCTGTCTGCCAGTCCGCTAGTTGCTCCCAAGGGGGGAGTTCTAACGGATCGATGTATTCGGTATTTTTGCTTACGAGGCTTGCCATTCGTCGTAGCCGTGAGTCTGGTCCTGATTTGTCCCTGAGTCTCGTTCGGAGAGGGTGTCGCTCGTCCAGACGATGGATTCTGGTGGACGCTGTGTGGAGCTTCGCGTCCAGTATCACCTCTGCTGGGGGTAGAGCCGCCTCGCGCTGTAGGATCGGTACAGGCGTAGTTCTGTATACGGGGACCATCGCTCTAATGGCTTTGGTTTGCGTCGCGTCCAGTTGGTGTAGCAGACTACCAACCCCGTTTGAGATAGTACGTCCATTCTTTATCCGGCTCTTGCCGGGCCACCATGCTTCAGATGCATAGTACTGAGTGGGTAATACACAAGAGGTGATCGCTCGACGAAGTAAGTACGCAGGCGCGCCCCAGACAGTGTTCCCTAGTCCCCGTAGTCCATTGACTACTTGGCATGCTTTTGCAGAGAGGTTTCTTACGTGACTCTTGAATGTGATATTTGTATGTGTGGGAACAAACGGCAATCGCTAGGTATACACGGAGCCGAGCTATGTCACGTGTCTTCGGCACGTGACACACCTCAGCTCCCTCCTTCCATATCACGAGCCTTCGCGTTTAGATACTCTCCTTAACAACAATAACAACAACAAGAACACCAGATTAACCCAACGATATTGCTACCGATCGCGATACCAGGAATACCTGTGTGACTAACCTGTGGTACACGCAAACCAACAGTATGTAATCCCTTGGCTTCAGAAAGCCACACGCCGAGCACGAACGCACTGTCTCCACAGAGCTGTATTGACAGAAAGAGCAAACAATGACGTGGAAAATGCGTTCACTTAGGTAAGGCAGACTCACTCTGGTTGAAGGACTGTAAAAAGTATCAGATTCAACAGAAACGAGAAGCTCCTTGAAGGTTCGACAGCGGCCCAGGTCGAGGTCAATCATCTTTGGGATTGAGACGGATCCTGAGTCTCGCCATGCATGTCTAGGTATCCCAGTTGAGAAGTCGAAGCGTCGGAGTTGCTTCCGCGCCGCGCCTGATTCGTACATGTTGCATCCGGCCCCTCGCAGAATTGCTCTAAAACGTGAATGTTTTCGGGGCTTAGAATCTCCTCTGGAGAGTCATTACGTTCACTTCGAGCCATTTGAGAGCTTGGAAAGCTCGAAGAGTATCCTCTCGCCGCGTTTCGGCGATTTCGCCATCTTGGTGGACTTGGTGGCAAGGGTTCGGATTCCGGAACCGGCCCAGAATTCAACTATTTGCAAATCGGAAGATTACGTGATCTGACCGTCTGCTCGTGATATCATTCTCACGCTGGGTCGAAGCTTTAGACGGGGGATTTTTTCCCACCACCTGCCCCATAGTCATCCTCAGGGGATTCGCTCTTTCAACTCGTTTAATGACAAGATCAGGATATGACGGAAGTCTGACACAGACTCTTGCTTGCATGTTCAAACTTCGCAGCCAATTCTTTCTCTCTCTCTAACCGAGTTCAGCAATCTACCGCAACCTTCTCAGCTCCAGCCCGGCCACTATCGTATGCGCAGCGTAGGTGATAATTATAGTATCTTAGCACTCCATTCCACATATACAAGCCATTCAAAGACATCTATTAGAGCTGCATACGCAGTAGGTATTGTCAGTCAGATTCTCGCACCAACTACGTATGGTTAGGTCGCTCACGCGAGCTCAAGTTCCTTACTTAATATGCTATGCCGGCATTAGTCCAGATTCTTCTACTCATACCCTCAAAGATGTACGCCTAAGTGTCTACTTCAGTTTGGTTAAATCCGGCGAAGCACCGCTGCAGTTGTCAGCTTACCTTAACTGAAGTAACTCAAGATTGAAGCGACAGCTTGGCTGCACTTTCAGAAGTTTCCTTGATTTCCTTGAAAACTGTGCTACAGTGCTGAGAGCCTAAAGTACTTAGATGCTGTTGCCATAGCTAAACAATTCCAATTAGCAGTGGCCATGATTCACTCGATTGTATCACTGCTAGTCAGCTATTCTTGATACAAGACAAGTGTAAGCTTTGCCAAGTGCTAGGAATCTCAACCCATTATTTTTGTTTATTGAAGTCTGAAAAGATGTCTGGTGACTGCCAAGCAGACTAGAAAAAATCAAGGAAAATCAACCCTCTCATTGATGCGTGTCTCTTCGAAAGGTCTCGGTTCACATGATGGTAAGTTGTGACGGCATGCTCCTTGATGCCAAAGACAGACAAAACAGTAGTGAAGCGCTTCAAGAATGATCGTAGCACCTTGAAAGATGACAATCTCTCGCCGGAAAAGCTAGGCTACGGAGGAAAACCCCGTGAAGTCGTGAAGTGAATGGCTTTTCCACTTGGTATGCCCGGCCCAAAGAGGCATGGATCGACTGGGTAGTATCGGCTAGCCGCCCGGACAGCGGGTTCTGCATCCTTAGTATCTGCTTGCATATCACTTGTCACAGTTGACTGGTTGGCAGCATTGCATGAGAACACGACATGGACCACATGCATTGTAACGTGAGTTGGCTGTGCAAAAGCTCGCCAGAACATGTGTTTGAGATATTTGAAAGACGTACAAATTAGTCAAATACTTCGATAAAGAAGTTTGCATCAGAAAAGGCGCTTCCTATTGAATGATGAAAGTTAGTTGGGTAAGACATCATTAAATAGCAGCTACATAACCTCTTTGGCCCGGCTTTCGTCGATCCGGGCCGTTTTGAGGGAAGTGCGGTTGCACTGAGCATACACGTACAGCGTGTAGGTCGCCATTATCAAATTTGATAGCCGTAACCCCTCTTCGCCAAGTGTAAGACCATATGCATATCGGTTGTGTAACAGATACGCAAGTCGAATCGAGTGGGCTCATAGAAACATGGAGCGTTACGGTTGCGACCAACGGGCTTACCTCGATACAAGGGCATCACCAACGATCTCCATTGATCCATCCAAAACCAATAGCCTGCTTTAAGATACACATCCATGATGTTATTTATGCTATTGGTTTCGATTTCCCCCCAGGTATTTGCTTCCCGAAGTTCTCCAGAATCTCCCTGCCAACTCTTTGCCAGCCACAAAAGTCGATTGCTGGAACAGGCACCATGGATTCGGTGCCATTTCCTCACAATGGGACTTCATCCTCCTGGGAGACCATATTGATCAGTGCGCAAACACACAGAACCAGTCTCGTTCTACTTACGCCTGCTATCAGCTGCTTTCTCTGGTTCTTTGCTTCTTGGCAGACATCTCCGCTGAAGAAGTTTCCTGGACCACTACTCGCAGGTATTCCACGAGCTTCTGATCATGAGTCGTCGTCTAATAGAAGTAGAATCTAAAGCTAATGAACGGCAGGATGGACGAACGTTTGGAGGTTTTGGCAGGTGATTGCAGCGGAATATGCCCCCCGGATGAAGAAGCTCCACGAGAAGCATGGCCCGGTCGTTCGCCTCGGTCCGAATCTTCTAGACATTGATTACCCCGACTTGGTCAAAGTCATCTACGGCACCGATGGCAAATGGAAGAAGGTAATGCCATTTCAAAACAGCCCAACTCTCGCCGTGTGCTAAGTCAATGATTCATGTAGTCCGATCTCTACAAGAACAGCAGCACAATCATCGACGGCAAGATCACCTATCACATGTTCAGCGAGACCGATAACAAAGAACACGCAAAGCTGAAGCGACCTGTTGTGCGACACTTCTCGGTCCCCAGCGTTCTTGCAATGGAGCCCCATATGGACAAGACCATAGATGAGTTTTGCAATCATCTCGAACGTCGATTCGTAGACACTTCCACGGCCTGCGAATTTGGCGACTGGCTTGCTTACTGTACGTCAAGGTATGCATGCTTCAGGATGCTCGAGTTGCACGGCTAACCCCAGTCTTTCTTCCATAGGTGCTTGGGACTTCCTTGGCTACGTCACGTTCAGTAGAAAGTTTGGCTACATGGACGAAGGGCGTGATTTCGACGGCACACTTGCGATTGGCGACCAGGCGATCGACTATCTCGGTCTCTGTGGCCAGATGCCGTGGCTAGACCACTGGCTGGACAAGAACCCGGTCTACCCTCTCGGACCCCCGAACCTGTCCAACGTGACCAGGATCGCGTTCGAGAACCTGACTGCGAGGCTGAAGGGCGAAGACGATACCTTTAACCCCGAGAAGCCAGACTTCCTGCAGTACTTCATCGACTCCAAGGGGACACATCCCGAGATTGTGGATGAAGGCACCATTATCGGCTACCTGCTCTTGAACTGTGAGCTTGTTTGCTCAACCAAAAAAGCATTGCAGCAACTGACGCGAGGAAATAGTGATTGCAGGGGCCGATACCACAGCCATCACTATGCGTGCGCTGTTCTACTATTGCCTCAAGGACCGGCGTATCTGGAAGCGACTGGAAGCCGAAGTCATCTCGACTATCCCTGCTGATAAGCCCGCGCCCTACGCCATCGCCCGCGGGCTTCCTTACCTCGAAGCCGTTTGTCGAGAAACTCTACGCTACCATCCTCCCATCGCAATGACAATGGAGCGGATCGTGCCCGAGTCGGGTCTCACCCTTCCAGACGGCTCATTCGTGAGAGGGGGAACGCTCATCGGCATGAACCCTTACATCATTGGACGCAACAAAAAGGTCTACGGTGACGATGCTGACGACTTTAGACCTGAGCGGTGGCTTCAGCAGGATGGTGAAGACGATGAGGCCTACAAGCTGCGAATGCGACAGTGGAATTCGGCGGATATCGTCTTTGGTGGCGGCTCACGGATCTGTCTCGGGCGGAACCTGAGTTTGATGGAGGTTTATAAGATTATTCCGTCCTTGATTTCTAGGTTCGAGATTGAGCTTGTGGATCCGAATGAGAAGTGGTGGACAAGCTCGCGGTGGTTTTACCGGACGAAGGGGGTTGTCTGTACCTTGAAGCGTAGGGTCGCAAATGCATGAGGCAATCTTGTACTGCAGGCTGGCAAGAGAGCGTGGGCGAATGTCACATTCCCCTTGCTCACATGAGAGGGTAGGGAAAGATGGATTCATGTACTGGAAGGTTGATTACTATTACTATACTTCAAGACACACAAACTCGGATCATGCGGTGGGAGCAAATGTGCCGTTGGCGCACTCGAATCCGAGGTTAGGGCTCAGCGTCGGCATCGCATTCATGCAAATGAGCTTGGAGGCGCCGCGGCTCTGGGGATGGATCTTGATGTCTCTGGTCTGGAAGTTCTTGCAGGACGTTTGGGTGTTGCACTCAATAATGACGGCCTCGGTGTGGGTGAGGTTGGGGAGGCCAGAGTCATACCAGCAAGGCTATGTTCATCGTCAGCATACATGTACTCATCGCAAATTGTGAACGTAGAACTGTGTGAAAGACTTACGTTTGTGGCGCAGGATCCGTCACCGGGGTTGTTGGTGTTGATGCTGCCAGAGAAGTGCTCCCAGGTGAAATCCTCCATCATGACGGACGAGTTGTTGGGCCTGTCGCCGCCGGCGCTGGCCTGGTTGTAGTAGGTCTGCGTGACAAAGATGGGGAAGGTAACGTTGTCGAGACGGATGTTGCTCCAGGTGATGTTCTTCGCCAAACCCTGTCCACCAATCCAGCTCTTGAAGCGCGCGGCGTACAAACCGCCATGGACATCAACGTCCTCGAAGCGGATGTTCTTGACATCAGCCACAGAAGCAACCTTGGAGCCGAGCGAACCGACGCTCATGCCGTGGGTCTCGAAGCCGATGGTGGCGTGCTTGAAGAGAACGTTGTTGGCGCCGTCGTTGATTGCGATGGCGTCGTCGCCGTTGAAGATGTTGCTGTTGGTGATGGTCACATCCGTGGCGCCGACGTCGAAGCCGTCCGTGTTGAAGGGGAAGCCGCTCGTCTCGGAGCGGGCGTCGATGACGGTGTCGGAGATTGTGATGTTCTTGCCCTTGATGGAGAAGTTCCAGCCGATGGGCTTGAGGGACTTCATGTTCTTCATGACGCCGTTGGTGACGTTGAATTGCATGAGATGGGGCCGGTTGGGCGTGCCCGTCTCACCGGGCTTGTTGGCGTCCCACCAGGCTTGTCCGTGAGACTTGATCCATCCGGCGTGAGGCTGTAGAGGAGCATTTGTGAGTATCGATGAGATTTGTCAGAGTATTACGAGCAGGAACATACATCAGTTGAGGCAATCCATTGAACGTTGGTACCGCCGATTTGAAACCACGTGAGCGTGCCGCCCTTGGCAGAGACGAGTGCCTGAACGGTAGGAATGTCCTCGGGCAGAGTGATGTTGCCGTTGACGGTGATGACGACGTTGGAAAGCTTGGTGGCGACGATGGGCTCATACGCCTTGTACTCGACGCCTTCACGGAAGATGATTTCGGCATCGCTAGCGCACTTGGTGAACGCCTCGGCGATGGCAGCTGCGTCCGACGTCGCGTTGCTGGAAGGCGAAATAACGCATTTCGTCGTCTGCGCGAGCGCGGGGGCCGCGAGAGAGAATGCCAATGGCAGCAGGTTACGGTACAGCATGACGGCGGCGAGGTGGGGGGCGATGTAGAGATGTAGAGACCGTGGGTTGACGTTGAGAGAGAGGGTGAGCAGCTCAGCAACGACTCAATCCGTTACGGGCGGCCAAGCCGGGTCATTATAAACATCTCAAAGATTCGCCCCGAGTCGTGGGACCCTCACTATGAGGGGTCCACACAGGAGAGGAAGGGTGACATCGGTCTCCCGGGTCAGAGCATATCGAAAAGGCACACCTGGTCACCCGCAGATTTTCCTGGGAATTTTTTGAGTTGGGTTGGGATTCCCGGGATGGTCGTGGTTTTTTGCGGAGATGAGACTAGTATCAGGTAAGGAGAGGCCGAATCTTAACGGTTGCTGACGTTGGTCCCGGTGGGCGAAAGAGCCTCGATTGCGGAGGGGAGGGGGGGGAAGTCAGGGGACCCAAAAAGGGGGGGATAGGCAAACGAACGCGAGTTCAGACGATCCACCGTCGATATTGATTGGATGGAAAATTATTCCCCGTTTCCTTCATTGCCTTGCGCTATGGAATTGAGTCCTTGCAAGCTGCAAAAAGAGATCTTCCGCACGTGTTGGAGCTTGGTCTCGTTTGGTATGAGTGATCCCCCGCGCGTGGACTTGCGCTTGACTAGGACCAGGGCCGGATATGCGGCACACTACCCTGCGGCTCTTCTCTCACAGATTGCGAGTTGAAGACTTGGCGAAAGCCGCAGGAACAGAGGCGTTGTCAGTTGAAAACAGACAAGAAGATTGTTTGCTGGCAGAATTTGTACCTGGGTAGATGAATGGCATTGCTTGACAAATTTGCGTGGTGCGACAAGTCATATCGAAGACACAGCCCTACACACCTTGTCAATTTAAGACAGGGTGAACTAATCAAACCTTGTGCCATCTCGACAATCAATTTCCGGCTAAGCTTGGACGCAGTTTATATTTTGAATCTGAGCTTGCATGGGTGCCATGAGATCCCAGATGAGCAGCCCCGTGGTAGTATCTGTCAGCGGTTCGGCCGGGCTTCATTCTAGGCCGCTGTCACTTTGGGGGCCTGGCCGTTGTAGGCTCAATGGTCTAGACCACCGGTGGTTGTTCACAAAGTGATCTCAAGTTCGTCAATCTTCTTGTCAAACTTCACAACAACTCCTCGTTGGATGAACCGATTGTGCACGCAAGCTTCATCCAACAGCAATGTCGTCGTAGGCATCTGGGAAGCCAAGCCGGAACCCCGTCTGGATCGACAGATTGAGAAGGCCGAGCCCGGCTCGGCGGTCTCGGCGCCCCACTCTTTCCCGCGTGGTCGAAGCTGCCCCGGTTCTCCTTTGATGTCGAGGACAGCATCTTCGTTTCATTTCATTATGCCTTTTTGATATGCCTTGATCCATACGGGGAGACATAAGCCATGATGGTGTATCATTTGAATATATGTCCAGGAGGCTCTTCAGGCTCTGCGCAGTTCAATAATTGTAATTACATTCGGTTGAATGATTTGGTGCCGGGTATCATACACATGCCACGTCTCACTCCCCATGCTGCTCTTCCGCCTGAACCTGCTCCCTCACCGGGGCCGCAGGTCTCGGCTGGAGCCCCCTTTGCTGATCCAACTTCCTCCTCTCCCACGGCTTCAACTTGGTCTCCTCGGCCGGCCCGTCCACCTCCTTGGCCCACTTGACCCAGTCGGACCGCCTCGTCTTCCACATATCACCCTTCCACGTGCGCCAGACACTACGACCCATCCACGAGTCACGCAGGGCCCTCTCGTGCTCCGCCAGCGCGCCGATGATGGTCTGCTTGACGTGGAACGGGATGGACCGGTCACCTCGGGAGGGCACCTCGATGATGGCGAGGACGACGTTGTGGCCGAACTGCGACTGGGCGAGCTCTGCTGCGTGCGGGGCGAGCGCGCCGACGAGGGCCTTGTGGAAGAACTCGTTTTGCGGGGCTGCGGGGCTGGCGAGAGCTGTAGTGAGGACGGTCATTGATGCCATTGATGTGGTTGCGAGCTTGACGAGGAGGTCTGGGGGCGTGGCGAGGAGAGACTTCTGGGCGACCTTGGTGGGGTTGCCAGAGGTCTTGAGCATGGCCGATACGAGCTGGCAGCCGTGGTTGACGACGGCAGTCTTGTTCTGCGGAGCATCCTGCTGAAATGTCTTGTCGTCGGCGGACTCTTCCTCGACCAGGTGGCACAGCTTCGGCACCACGTTCTTCGGGTCGGAGCCGAGCGCGTCGGTGAGAGCCCTGGTGAGCGCACTTTTCTCCTCGTACGCGCCACGGGCCTCGCAGCGCTCAAAGAGGGTCTTGAGCACGTTGTACCGAGCCTTGGTCACCAAGAGGGGCACGGCAGGGATGATCTTCTTGACGGCTTCGACGAGATCGTCTTTGCTGGCACGGTTGAGCACACGGAGGGCGGGATACGAGGCAATGTCGTTGCGGACGTAGGTTGCGATACGCTCGCCGAAGAAGTTGCGAGAGAGCGCCTTGAAGATCTTGCCGGGGCAGTTTGTGAGGAGCGTCTCGAGAAGGCGAGATCCGATTTGGTCGTACACCATGCTGTTGATAAACTCCGCCGCCTGCGATGACTCGTCGCTGAGAGATTGGGGTGCGTCAGGCAACAGCCTGTACAGCAGAGTGTCCTTTGTTGATGCTGCGGATTCCTTGTCGCTTTTGTGGCTGAGGGAGATGTCGAGCTCGAGCAGGAGCTGGAGGAGAGGGTTGCCCGTGGGGTGCTTGGCGAGCACGCGCAGGGCGGTGAAGTCCATGCCGGAAACGGCGTCCTGGATGATCTTCTTGGTGGCCAGGGTGAAGGACTCGGGGACGGCCCTCAGCTGGTGGGTGAGTTCATCCGCGGTTGCTGTGGCGCCCTGAACGGAAATGTACTCCTTCTTCTTGCTCTTCAGCATCGACTTGGTAGCTGCGTCGTCTAGCGGTCTTCCGGACAAAACGACCAGAAGCACGCGCAAAGTGTGGGATCCGAATCGGTCCGTCAGGAGGAATCCCATGTGCTGTTCGAACTCGTCAAGGGTCATAAGGAAGAGGTCCTCCATGGTGTTCTCCGGCATCGGCTCGCCATCCTCCTCAGTATCCATCTCGTCGTCCACCTTGGGTTCCGGCACGATACCTCCCAGCTCTTGCGTCACAACGGGTGCCGATTCGAGGAATAGCTTCTCGCAGCAGTGACTGGCAAATCGATGCTGGACGAGGGACAGGAAATGGCTAGCAAAGGCATTGAAGATCTGCTTCTTCTGCCTCGTGTTGGAAAGAATGATGAGGCGCTCCATAAGTCTCGAAAGCGATTGACTGCTGGCCAACTTCAGTTCCTTGCCCTTCGCCTCCTTGTACACGTTCTGCAGGAAGACGTCGCGCTCCTCGGAGGAGGGGAACTGGTTCAATTCGAGCAGCTCGTCGGCACGGCGGAAGTATTCCTGCTCCTCATCGGCGAGCATGCCGAAGAATTCCACTTCGGGCCCATTGCCACGGAATGACTGCTCCTGCTCGTTCGCTGCATCGTCGAAGCCGGGCTGCTGTTCCCCATCCTGCTCCTCGTCCTGGACCCGCCTGCGCTTCGATGATCGTTCCTCTTCGTTCGCCTGGTGGTTCTCTTCGTGAGTCTCCCTCCTCTTCTTCTTTCGCTCGTCGCGAATCGCTTGACGTTTCGTTCTCGGCTTCGGCATTGTGACTGGGCGCTGAAGATTGTAGGGTGAAGTGTATTTTGCTGGGGAACTGGACGGGTTCATCGCATTGAGCACTTGAAAGTCGAGTAAGAAAAAAAACTACTTTTGGCACTCGCTATCTTATCGCTTATCTTATCGATGCAACACCCCCACCCACTCTCATCCCTGTCCCGCATCCAGATCCGTCACCCCTGCTCCCCCAGATGCGTCTCCTCTCTAGGTATTCCATCCCGAATCGCTTGAGTTCTTCTCATCTCCGTCCTAATCCAACTTCATAGCTAGAATGAGCCTTCTAGCTCTTCTCACTGATGAGCGATTTTCTTGTTCGATCAATTCATTATCCAAGCTTATTTCGGCCCAGACAGCGCCATAAATGCCCCAAATAGCGCAGCACCGCGCACGTAGATATCGTCTCACCCGTGGACTTCTTGAGTTATTGGGTTAGCCAAGTCTATCTTCCGGTCCATCGTTCTACAACATATCTGTATCTAATCTGCACCATTTTGCCATAATCTTCTCTAGTACTTACACCGCAATCTCCTTGCCAACTTCTTCCAGCGCCTTGACCAAGCCCTCGACGGTTCCCTTGAGGGTTTGACAGTTGACAACAACCCGGAAGAAGCTACCTTGTTCTCCAGGAGCATAGTCAATCATGAACCCCCGCTGTATCAGCTTGTGGACCATCTGGCTAGTCCGTCTCGTATTCGCCGCAGGCTCCTCTGCAAGTTGGCCGTTTGGCGCGTAGTAGAAGCAGACCTGCAAGCAAGGCGGCGGGTTCGACGAGACCAGGACAAAGTTTTCGCTCTTCTCGGCCAACGTCGCGAGGTACTCCGCCAGGGAAAACGCATGGTCAATCTGCTTCTCGAATCCGCCGGCGCCATAGTAGATCCACGCCAACGCCAGCTTCAGACTGTCGCCCCTACGACCGCACTGCAGCGTAAGGTCCGCCAGATCCCACACGTCCTCGGTCTCGTCCACGTTGTGGAACAAGTACCCTGCAGGCAGGGTGTTTGCCTTGTGGAATACCTTCTCATCCGGCGTGAGCAGGAACGAGCACGTCACCGGCACGTTCATCATCTTGTGCGGGTTAACCGTCAACGAGTCCGCCAGATGGGAGCCCTTGAGCTTAGCCTTTTGCTTCTCTGAGAAGATGGCGGAACCGCCCCAGCTAGCATCGATGTGGAACCACAAACCAAACTCTTTACAAATGCTCGAAATCTCCTCAAATGGATCGTAGGAGCCCATGACCGTCGTTCCGGCCGTCGAGTTGACGTAAAGAGGCGTCTTGCCCTCCGCCTTGGCGCGGACGACGAGCTCCCGGAGGGCTTCGGGGATCATGCGTCCCGCGGCGTCGATCGGCACGGCCCACACGCTCGAGGCGCCGAGGCCGCAGGCGAGGGCGCTCTTTTCGACAGAGTAGTGGCCGTGGGCGCTGGTGAAGACGACAAAGTCGCGCGCGCCGTTGCCGGAGGCCTTTGTCTCGGGGTAGAGGGCGCTCCGCGCCACGACGAGCGAGGTCAGGTTGGAAGAGCTGCCGCCCTGGCAGGTGACGCCGCCGGCGCGGGGACCGTTGAAGCCGAAGATGTTTGCGAATTTGCGGGCCGTGATCTTTTCGATTATGCTCAGGGCGGGGGAGACTTGGTAGACGTGGAGCTGGTTTACTTAGTAAAGGCTACCCGCCGGAAGGGAGTGAGGCAGCGGCGGATGAACTTACGTTTGTGTTTAAGACAGACAGAACGAGATCGGAGACGACGCCCACCTGTGAAATTCATGGTCAGACTTTCATCCAGGGCGCCGCGCATACACAAAAGGCCACGAACATACCGGAGTATTGCTTGCATACAACTTATCCATGAAGCCCTGGTCCCAGGTGTTGACGCTGTACCTCAAAATCTCTTGCACGACATCAAGCAGCCCCTCCTTCCCGAGCCCGTCGCCCTCGGGAAGAGAAAGCTTCAACTTTTCAACCAACGCCTCGGGCTTTTGCGTGTCGACTAGCACATTGCTCGGAACGCCTTCAATGTCGACGGATGTGTAGCCACTGGCCTTTTGGCCGGCTGCTTCATCGGCTGCTCTGATGTACGGGACGATCAGACCCTTGACGGCATCAAGCAGCTGTTGAACAGGGGGCAGGTCAGTCGGGAGGTTCGGGAGAATGCACGACTGCTTACGAGGCTGAGATACTTACATCCTCTACTTCCTCGGCTCTTTTGAGCGTTTGCGGGACTGCATGGTGCCCATTCGTGCCGTTGGTGCCGTTCATCGTTGTTGTGCTGAGATATTGGTACTTCTCTTTCACAAGAAGCCTGAGAAAGTATTGAAAAATATTCTTTCAAAAATGTAAGAAGCTCAGACAATGAAAGGTTTCGTCAAAAATACCGCTCAAATTGGACAGCACGGAACGAATTACTGGTCCAAATAGTCAATATCTATCCAAGGGGTCGAGTTGCTTTCTCGGTCCACTCCTATGTTTCTTCCAATGTTGTCTCCAACCTAGAATGAGTAATACTATTTTGGAGAAATTCTTCAAAAAGCCGGCGTTTATTCCCCGATGACGGCACATCGGAGCAAAGTGGCGCGAGCCCACCTTCATCCACCCGGCTGGGAAACTAGCCGCCCTCGCCGCCGGGTCCAACGGTACCTTAATCAGCATCTTTCTTTCATCATCACTTTTGGATATTGGTAGAGCCGACCAATTCAGTTCTTCAGGGTCATTCTATATGGTTTAGCGGGCACTCTGGGCTTGGCAGAGCAGACACGTTGTCCATTTACACAGATTTTTCAGTTTACGAAGGAGAGGGCAATTGATCAACAGATTAAACATGAATAACTAGTGCTTGATCCGGGCTCCCGAGGGCCGCTTCAAAACAGGACCCTGATCGGAAGGGAAGCGGCACAGTCAGATCTTTCCCACCGACCCGGATTCGTCCCACCGAACCGCCGTGCCAAGCATGAGGTTTAGCGGTGTCTCACCCGGAATGTCTCACCGGGTACCGAGAGCCTAGGGTCGGCCGTTTTTTTCTGCCCAGATCCGGATCCCGGCGAGGAATGGTGGCCTGTATCTGACTTTCGATTGTCTCTTTTGTAGCACGCTCCACGTTGAGATGATACTATCGAGCGACTTTGTCACTGACGTAGCCTCTATTGAACGGTCTTGATGATGCAATGAGGGAGCCGAAGTAGGGATACGATCTAGTACGATGACTGAATATGAGAAGCTTCCTATTTACTACACTGGAAATACCTGATCCGAGTACTTCGAGACCAAGTCAATCCATCTACTGGTATCTCCATGAGATGACAACCATCACGATCGGTGCTCACGAACCCGATGAACCAATTTTCGCACCATAACAAAGCCTCCAGCGATGCCAACTCGGGCATCAATCGGCATCCAAGTTCTCGAAAGAGCCCGGGATGGCGGAGCATGAACACGCAGAATCAACAGACGACATTTGTTTGAGATGTCACGGGGAAAGTTTCACAGGATTGAAAAGCTGGAAAGCCCCCCGTCACCCCACGACCATTCCAGAGAGAGAGAGAGAGAGAGAGAGAGAGAGAGCATAAGTGTGATCAATGCGGGTGAGGTGGCACCTGACAAGATGTTGAAACGGGTGTTCACCATCGTCATTGGGGGGGGGATACACCTGATTGTGCCATGATGTTTCCTACCCACTCCTAGCTACTCTACCTCGCAACGTGTAGCGGGAAAATATGCGGCTAATACCTGCTGGGCTGACCTGCATCTGATTGCGCCGCCGCCAGGAACGAACCTGCATGCAGCCCGTCTTCCCGCAGTACCGTACGGTGCATGTCCGCCTGATTGACTCATAAGGCTATTTATTGCCAATTGCATGGCAGCATGATGCACCTTCGACGCAGGGGGGGAGGAAGCGGGAATGCATAGAACAAACATTTTTCGATCGAGGGATGCCCGCAAACAGGAGTGAAGCATCGCGTGGCACGACAAAGCCAACAAAGGATACTGATCCCAGAGACACACGTGGTATGGGATTCAGGAACGCCCCAAACCCAAAACCCAGGATGAGAAAACGGTCTCAGAGGGGGGGGAGGGGAGGGGAGAGATGTTTGCTTCTACCTACCTGTGTATGGTGTACCGGACCATGCAACCGGGATTCAGGGCCGAATGGGCGATGCGACGGGGAGAGCTTCATCGTTTGGTGGTGAACTTGAACCCGCCAAAATAGGGTAAAATTGCGTGTGTGAGATTGCGAGTCTCACTAGCAGTACTTTGTACCCGTATTTGCAAGATGCTCACAGTGAGACACCATGCAACAGTCAAAACGTTGTCGTGGGGCATCAACTCGCTATCCCAAGAAGGGTTGCGAGTTTCAGCGGAACTAGACGGAATAGGAAGAAGGCGAGGAAAATCTGTTGCGGGCGTTCGTGTTCCTGGGGGGTTTTTTCTTCTTCTTTTTTTCTCTTCCCCGTTGGAGTTCCTGGTTCCTGGGGTTGGCGTTTGGTCGCTTAGGGACGATCAACTGCCGCCATCCAGGGGGAGCCAAGCACCGTTGAGCAGCATCGCTTCTCGAAGGCAAACACAATCTATTATTTTCTCGGATCGATTGATTGCGGCCCAGCCTACTGGTATCCTGGGAGGATGGTGGGAGGCGGGAGTTGGGCCAAAAAGAAATATGTGGCTGCAACTATCAAGAGGTTTTTGTTTTTTTCACAGTCTATCACAGGTAATGCAACGCAACACGATACGACAAACGCCTCCGCTCAGCCACACAACCACGGCAAGGCGAAAAAAGGAGGTCGGGTTTCGGGATACTATTGAAGACATTGAAGCAGACTTCAGGAGTCCAAACTCCATCCGTCGTCAGTCGACATCTCGGACAGCCCGATATGCAAGGGTAAAAATCTTCACAAGCAGATTGCACAAGTCTCCACGTTCATTTTATCACAGCGAGAAAGAAGAGGAAATTCGGAGAATAAGAAGCAAAGAAGGAGTGGAAGGGGATCCATCCGTATTAAGTTGGATGTGAGATTCGAATGTGGACCATCGACCGCGGCTCTCAGATCCTTTTCTCTCTTAAAAACAAGCGCCATCTGCAATGATTCTGTATCGGTACGGATCCGTATGGGCATGTCCAATAAATAAAGATGCAATAACTAATTATCTCGCTGATTTAGTGTCAGTTGTCCGCAATCTCATTTCAGCCCACCTATTACTGTTAGTGTTAGGCCCTTCCCCCGGTCTCCCCCGGCCTCTCTGCACTGACAAAGATCCCGGACCGCGGACGGATCACCCAGCGGGCCAGCATCTTTGACATTTGCAGCAAGCAGGGCAGCAGCAGTGGCACCCTGCAGATATTGTGGTTTTTTCTTCTTCTGCGCGGCACGGGCATCTCCAGAAACAGACGACATCTCCATTCTTGTTTATTGAGAAGGGTCAAGGAGCGGCAAGGGAGAGAGGAAATTTTTGATATTGACGAAACAATCAGAGACGCATCAGGAAGGGGCGAAAGGGGGGAAAGGGAAGAAAGGGAAGCACAGAAGGAAGGAAGGAAGTAGACAGGTTTGTCAGCACCTTCTTCCCCGAAACCGAGTACCGAGTACGTATATCCGTACTCTGTACTCAATACCTAAGGTACCTTGATACCTGGTAATGGAAGGCAGGTACGGATACATCATACTGCTCGTTTGCTCCTTTCCAATTGTTCCATCGTCACATCGTCACATCTTGCATCAGGCTGATCAGGGTCCCTCCCCTCCTCCTCCTCTCCTCCAAACGCTTTCTTCGTCACCAAGACCAATCACAAATCACAAATCAAAGCCCGTCAACAAACCCCTTCCCTTCTCATCCCTCACCTCAGTGACGACATCCCATCCTCGTCCGACGCCCCGACCTCCAAAACCAACGCTACCCGTGACTCGTCAGCTCTAGGTACGGATAGCTTGAGCAACACGCACCAGCGGCACCACTCATCGGAACTGCACGAGAGAAACACCAGTGCTGCAGGGAGCTCCCCTCCTGAAGCTTGCTCCCGCCCCTCCTGCGATCCCACAATCACCGAGACAGAGCCGCGCAGTCGCATCCCGTCTTGCAGCCAAACAGCGCCCGGGACAGACTCTGAAATCGAATACCTCACCAGGTCAGAGCTGGAGATTCCCCATCAGAGCTCCCCATCGAGCAGGCCTCATCCCTCTATTTTCTTCCACTTCACCCTCGGACGGAGCGACGCTCGAGCACTCCGGTGACCAGTCTTTTCTCTCCCACGACCACCACAGACATCCCCCATACGAGCACAAGCAAGAAAAACAAATACATAATAAGAGGGCGGAGCGAGGAAGAATAGAGTCAGCAGCCCAGTCCTTGGTCTGCTGCTTGCTTTTGCCTTTAATCCGCATCCATCTCGAGCTTTGGGTTCCGATTCCGCTTTATTCGTATTCTTTCAAGTTTCGGCCCCCAAAGACCGAGTGCAGCCTTCAATCCTTCCTTTCCATCGATTCATTGCAACGCAACGCTACACAATACAACGCAACACAACTCACGGAAAAGCGCACCGCAGCACCCCCGTCAAGGGTCGGTATCAAAAGCAAGCGCATCCCCTCGCTCAGTCTGTCATCCATCCAGCCATTCATCCATACCGAATACGATTCGCCCACCACCATCCCGCATTATCGCTGCGATATTCGGGCCATACCAGAGAGACACACCACCCAACCACCTCCAGGCCAACCAAGAGCGCCGTCACACTTTCGGATTTCACACCAATATCACGCAGCTTACCATCAACTTTCACCTGTTGACTGCATCTGCGGCTGCACCCAATTGACCAACGACGTTCTCTCCTCCCCTCATCGCCCAAGCTTCAACTCGCGACAAAAAGAAACATCTTGTCTCACCTTTTGACGGCGAAGAATACGAACGGATTCTATTTACGTCCAGCAATCCAAACCCACCGATTCACATCTCGCTCATTGCAACCTTAACGGGTCTACACTGTCTGTCTCGCGCGCGCGCGCGCGCCACACGATACGGACTATCCCCAACGACATCCCCATCATCCCGTCCAGCTCTCTCCCAGCGGGCACCTAGAAAAGACGACAAACGACATCTGCCACCCGCACCAAAGCAACACGACCAACCAAAATAACAACCACGAGGCAAAGAGAGGCGACGCAAACCACACAGACGCACACCTTTCTTGAATTTCCGTGTCTTCCACTCTCCTTCTCGTCTTCGTTTTCCCCACCCTGCCCAGAAAAAGCCCACGGTCCCAAACGAACGAACCCTGTTTGGGGGCCGCTCCCGTGAACGATTACGCCACAGCCTTTTGCCCCTTACTCGATCCTAACTGAAAGAAGAAAAACGGTCGAACCGCGCGCGCGGTCTGAGAGCCGAAACGAAGCTAAGAAGGACGAGAGCTGCTGCACTGCCGTCTGACGACCTTGCTCCCACGAGCCTACGAATACCTTACCTGCCCTACCAACGCCACTAATAGAGAGTCGGACCTCTTCTTATCTCACCTCACCCACCACTTGTTGTACTACTTTTCCCCCAAATTTCTCGACCGAATCTCCCGAACGAGGCCTTTTCTACTGAAAGATCACCACGAAGTTGCATTCGACCTGTCTTTTGACTGTGCAGTTCAACCCTCGGCGCAGCAATCAACGTACTTGCGACGCCAAGTCTACCGTCATCGAGCGTCCTCCAACTCGCGACTTCCAACGGCGCACGCGACGTGTGACGACACAACCTCGGAGCTGTCCCCGCAATCCAAGGCGGCCGACATTGGACCATCACAACCACTACACTTCAAGCTTGCGTCCGGCTTTTCAGAACAAAAGACGACCTACACAATGTCAATCTCACAACAAGCTCCGACGCCCATTTCAATTACCATTTGCGGCGATGGTGGCTGCGGAAAATCCTCCATAACACTCCGTCTCGTGCGTTCGCAATGGACCTCCGAATACGACCCCACTATCGAGGACTCCTACTCCATCACCCGCAAGATCGATGGACAAAACTACCACCTTTCTCTTACAGACACGGCCGGTCAGGAGGAGTACCGCGGCATGTGGGCCTCTTCGAACCTTGGCGCAGACGCTTTCTTGCTCGTGTACGACATCACCTCCCGCGACTCCATCGACGCCCTCCAGTACTTCAACGACCTCATTGACATGGAGGCGGAAACACGCCTCGACAACGCCGAGCGCGCAAAACGTGCCGGCCTCTCACCCTCCTCCTACCGCGATACCGTATCCGCCACGCCGGGCGCTAAGACCGTTCCCCCCGTCAAGATCGTCGCCGGCAACAAGTGTGACCTGCAAGAGTCCCGGGCCGTTCCTGCGGCCATGGGTCTAGACTGGGCGCGCCGCCGAGGGTGCGGCTTCATGGAGACGAGCGCAAGGCTTGAGGTCAATATTGAGGAAACATTTGCGCTAATCGTTCGCCGCGTTGTTGAGGCCAGGCGCATGGCGGAACTTGGTGTCAACGAAAACATGGAAATGAATCGGAGGGGCATGACCAAGCCGCTAAGTCCCCTACCGGCGGGCAGCGAGCAGAACGAGAAGCGCGGCCCCGGTGTGCGGGGTCCTAATATCGATGGCAAGGTTGGCAAGGCGTCGATATGGAGGAAGCTCCGGTGCTGGTGAGGCTTTTGTTCTTATGGCTCCAGGAAGTCGCACAGCGCCGAGTATTGCCGTCGTTGCGTTTGGAGCAGTCGCGGCGGTATCTCGAAAGCGAGGACGTCGAACGGGGGCATGAACGGCTTCGTCCGCCGTCCTACGGCTGAGAAGGGGGCCGACTAGAAGCGCAAAGTCCCTTTCTCTTTGTACCTGGGGACGAGTGTGATGACCGAAGTAACTTCGGACGGCCGCTGGAGAAAAGGTTCGGTCTGTATGAAACGTCACGGCGATGAAGCGCTTCATTTTGCATTGGAGTTGAGGCGGCCGTAATAGCCGTCACGTTGTTCTTTTTTGCGCCTTGGAGATTCAGAGAGTGGGACTTACACGCAAGTGAAGCATCATCAAACGCGGCGTTTGGGGAGTCTGTAGCGCAAGTCCTTCGCCGCCTGTTGTACGGGTTGCGACGGACGAGGGACTTGGATCCGGGGTCTGCTTTTTGGCAAACGACCGATATGGCCCAGGCCTTATCTCAAATTCTGTGTTTTCTTGTGTTTTGTTTTTCGTTTAGATACCAATGATGCGTGTGAATTATCAAGCATAACTATTCAAGGTGAAGAAAGACTAATCAATCTTTCACTGTGAGATTGATTGCGATGAGTGTAAATCTAACGAAAAACTAGTCATATCTTTCTTTTCATTCAAGTTTAGAGCACAATGTACCACCGCCGCGACGAAACTCGACCCTCATCCTCGGACTCGAAACCCGCCCTGATATCTCTCTCTGTTTCCCAATATACCAACAACGCCGTAATAACATCCTTCCAAGGAACATTGTCTGAAACCTGTCCAAACATCTCATCTAGTCATTCTTCTTCTTCCATCTAAGCTTTTCTAATCCCATCTAACCAACAAAAGTCTAGGTGGTGATCTTGGCGACCTTTTGCCACAGGCCGTTGTGGGACCAGGTCCAGTTCTTGAGGAAGGGCGGGTCCATGCCCGTCTCAAAGGCCTCGATGCGGGCGGCGATCTGTTGGTTGCGCAGCGTCTCGCGGGCGGCGGCGCCGCGATTGTGGAGCTGGGGCATGCGGTCGATGGCGTCCATGGCGAGGCTGAAGCGGTCCGTCTGGTTGCGGATGGCGAGCTCAAGGGGCGTGTCGATGTTGCCCTTTTCCTTGTAGCCGCGGACGTGGAGGTTCATGTTGCCGGGCCGCTTGTAGGTGAGGCGGTGGACGAGCCAGGGGTACGAGTGGAAGTTGAAGATGACGGGCTTGTCGTCTGTGAAGAGGGAGACCCACTCTGCGTTTGTGAGGCCGTGGGGGTGGTCCTCGTGGGAGATGAGCTTGAAGAGGTCGACGCAGTTGACGCAGCGGATCTTGAGCTCGGGGAAGTGTTGGAGAAGGAGGTCGATGGCGGCGAGGGACTCGTGGGTGGAGATGTCGCCGCACGAGGCCATGACGAGGTCGGGTTCTTCGCCCTGGTCGGTGCTGAACTGCGGCCAGATGCCGATGCCCTTTGTGCAGTGCTCGACGGCCTTTTCCATGGTGAGGTACTGGAGGTGCTCCTGCTTGTCGGCGACGATGACGTTGACGTAGTTTGACGAGGCGAGGCAGTGGTTCATTGTGGAGAGGAGGCAGTTTCCGTCGGGGGGGAGGTAGATGCGGACGACCTCGGGGCTCTTGTTGGCGACGACGTCGAGGAAGCCTGGGTCTTGGTGCGTGAAGCCGTTGTGGTCCTGGCGCCAGACGACGGCGGTGAGGAGGATGTTGAGGGAGGCGATCTTGTTGCGCCACTCGACCTCGAGAGCCTTCTCGATCCATTTGCAGTGCTGGTTGACCATGGAGTCGATGACGTGGACTACACTTTGGTTAGCATGATGTTTAGTAAGTAAGAGGCAGTGGTGAGCTTACTGAATGGCTCGTAGCTGTTGAGAAGACCGTGGCGTCCAGTCAGGATGTAACCCTCGAGCCAACCCTCACAGGTGTGCTCGGAAAGCATCTCCATGACACGTCCCTCGGGGGCCAGGTTGCCACCGTTGGCATCCTCTTCAAAGTACTCGCCCATCCAGACCTTCTTGCCGGCCTCGTAGACGGCGCCGAGCTTGTTGGACTCAGTCTCGTCGGGTCCGAAGAGACGGAAGCTCTGCATGTTTCCAGCCATCACGTCCCGAAGGTAGGTGGCCATGTTGTTCATGCTGGCAGCCATGGTGCCGCCAGACTTGTCGACTTTGATGGCGTAGTCCTTGAAGTCGGGGAGCTTCAGAGGCTTCCTGAGAACACCACCGTTGGCAACCGGGTTGGCGCTCATGCGGCGGTTGCCGGTAGGGCAGAGGGACTTGAGCTCATCCGAGATACGGCCGTCCTTGAAGAGACGCTCGGGCTCGTAGCTGCGCATCCATTGCTCAAGGAGCTTCAAGTGCTCGGGGTTGGTAGCGGCGTTGGGGATGGGGACTTGGTGGGCCCTCCAGTAGCCCTCCAAGTAGTTGTCGTCAATCTTGCGGGGGCCAGTCCAGCCCTTGGGGCTGCGAAGGACGATCAAGGGCCAGATGGGGCGGAAGGCCTTGCCAGAGTCACGGGCCTGCTTCTGGAACTTGCGGATCTCGAGGACGCAGTGCTCCAGAGTAGCGGCCATGGCCTGTTGCATGGTATCGACATCGTCGCCCTCGACAAAGTACGGCTGCCAGCCGTAGCCGAGGAAAAGGTTCTCCAGCTCCTTGTGGGAGATTCTGGCCAAGATTGTAGGGTTGTTGATTTTGTAGCCGTTCAGGTGCAGGACGGGCAGGACGGCGCCATCCACGATGGGGTTGAGGAACTTGGTGCTGTGCCATGCAGTTGCCAGAGGACCAGTCTCGGCCTCACCATCGCCGACCATGGTCAGGGCAATGAGATCGGGGTGGTCGTAGACGGCGCCAAATGCGTGGGAGACGGAGTAGCCAAGCTCTCCACCCTCGTGGATGGAACCCGGGGTCTCCGGTGTAGCGTGGGATCCGATGCCACCGGGGAAGGAGAAGGACTTGAAGAACTTTTGCATGCCTTCGACGTCTTCCGACTTCTCTGGGTAGACCTCGGAGTAAACACCCTCGAGGTAGGACTGGGAGAGCACGGCGGGGGCACCGTGGCCTGGGCCGGAGATGAAGATGGAGTCGAGGTCGTACTTCTTGATGAGACGATTGAAGTGCATCCAGGTAAAGATTTGACCCGGAGCTGACCCGAAGTGACCGAGTAACCTCAGCTTCATGTGCTCCTTCTTGAGGGGCTCCCGGAGGAGAGGGTTCTCCTTGAGGAAGATCATTCCCAAGGACAGGTACAAGCTGGCCTTGAAGAAGTCATTGTACTTCACAATGTCTTCCTTGGAGAGGGGCTCGCCCTTCACTGTTGACCGAGCTGGGCCATAGGGGCTGATGGACTCGACCTCCTTGTCGGCCATGTTGATGGTGACGGGAGGTAGGTGTGTAAGTGATGATGAGGTTTGTTCTAAGTGTGTTCAGGCCAAGATGCCTTGAAAGGGGTGGTTTAGAAAAGAAAAGTCAAGAGTCAGACTGAAGTCCGAGAGGGCTTGGTCTTTATACCTGAGGCCAGAAGAGAGACAGAGAGAAAGACAGATGTGTTGCGGTCATTTCGCCCAGAGGTCGGGCGGCAGGCGGGTAGCTCTGCCCAGGCTCGAGGTTGATGCTCACGTCTACGGCGCTGATCCCCGGTTGGAGACAGGCGGGCATCAATAGAGCAGCGCAAACGCAGTTCCGGGAGCTATCAGCCGATGTTGACGGCTCCCAACCTGGGTAGGAGGCGAAGGTTGCGGACGTTGAGAGAACAAGGGCATACTGGCAGGGGTGGGGTATACGAAGATACGGAACGGAACCTTGTGGTATGTACACGTTCCTTGATGGCGCTCTAGGTGAAGCATCTTTTTGGGAACTTTAGCTTGGAGAGTTGGAGAAGTGGTAACCCCAGGTGCGGGACTGTCATCCATTCCACAACAAAAGGCTCCAATGGGCTGGCAACGTGGGGGGGATAGGAGAAGAGAAGGAGATGTCGGGTGTCGGGTGTCATGGCATCCTGGCAACGTGGACTTTGGTGTGGGTTGCCTCTAGTGGCATATAGCGAAGTTTCCTTTTAGACGGTCCGGATGCTGCCTATGACAGGGTAACGGGACGAAAACTAAGACGGCGGCTGCAGATGAGCTGAGGAATTGCGGGTTTTCCTTGCATGTTCTTTTGGCGGCGAGAGGTTGATCTGTGGGTGGTGCTGGTGATTGTGCGTGGGGAGAAGAGGTGGTCTGATTTTCTGAACGCAACTCGACTGCGGCCATGGCACCAGGCGACATGTAGCCGACGTCACCTCATGCCCCACGTCGATATCGGTTGTGATCCTGTCCGCGTCATGGTACTTGATTTGCCTTGTCAATCCGTTTTCAGGAGATGGAGGAAGATGTTTTTAGATCCAATGGCTTTTTGGGTCAGGAACGCTTGCTGCACCTTGGTGGTTGAGGTCTCAGTAAGTGGAGGAAGTACGGAGGAAAACAGTAGGAGAAGTGAAGTCGGGGCAGCAGCGGGCCGAGCAGAATCGCCGCTTCGGGACATGGTACGGTACCTTCAAGGTACGTATTCGGCACCGTCGGCAGCTGCCGTTCGCCGGCCCGGCCTATCCATGGTGAGCCAAGGTGAAGACGGTGACTGGAAAGGTGAGGGAGGTGCTGATGGGAGAGAAACACCATTGCTGTCAAGCGCTGCACACGTCTCTCCATTACAACTCGCAACGTAACGCCTGCACATTATCGGTAGCTCTGCCCAGTCCGAGCTGCCGGGCCAATCTGTGTTACACCAACACATTTCCGACCCAATTCAACCCATCCATGCCCGCGTCCGAAAGCCTCAATCAACTTTGGCTAGGTGGTCTCACTACCCGATCTTCGGGAATGAGATAGTCAACTCCTAGGACAACGGCTAGTCGCCAGATACGATTCCTTCCTTGGCGTGGCGTCAACCGAAATGGCACAGCCAGAATGTCTCCCTACCAGCACGGAACAGTGGCATCCTTCTATCGAGAAAACAGCAGAATCCGTCCTGTCTCGCCTCCAGAGAAGGCTAACAGAGCCTCCATCCCTGACTGGGCATGCCCTACGGCAGCACCGTTTCGGACCGTTTTTTCGTATCGAGGCCCTATCGCAACCAACGCCGGTGTCCCTGTGCAACCGGCAGAGAACGAACGGCCTTCTCACCAGCTTCGCTCATCTGGTCGACCAGGCCACCGATGGTCCGATGGACAATAGAACCGACGGTGTTGGTGATAGTAATGCTGTCCCAGAGGAGCAAGACGAATATCGAAACAAGAACGTTGTCCGTTAGCCGGCAAGGGGTATCATTGACAGGGCTGTCAAGCCTGGCAGTGAATCCGGGCGCCTTCTTTCCTTGGCCAATCTAGCTAGGCATGCAGCAAATATCCCGCCATTGCAGAGAAGTGCTTTGGTTACTTGGCCTTCGTCTGCAGGCCGTTGGGCAGGCCGTGCCGAATTGCATCGGACTACCTTAGTCGTGCAAGCCTGGCATAAGGCACGAATTCGACGGCGGACAACGACTGACGGTGCGGATCCCGGCCGGCTCCTCGCCCAGATCTAGAAGCAGCTGATTCATGGCAAGTCTGGATTGTGGCATATGCACGAAGATCATGGCACCGCTCCACAACCACGACTTTCCTTACGTGCCATAAGCCTGGCAACCCCGGCACCCCGGGGGGCCTGACACACCCCGCCAAGTGTCAATCCTGCAGACATCACCCCACCACCTTTCACGGCGGGAGCTAGGACCCCAGCCCCGAGAAGACGAGAACAAAGTGGAGGGGAGCTGGAGCTTGAGCTGGAGCTCGGTGCTCAGTGCTCAGTGCTCAGTGCTCAGTGCCACTTCCGCAGAAACAACGCGTCGGTCTGAACCGCCATTTATATCGTGTTTCTGGTAAATTCTAGCCCAGATTGTTTTTCTCTTCAGCATCAGCCTCTCTCCTGCCCTTCTCAGGTATCCTGCCTTTAGAGGCTATGCCGTCGGCCGGATGTCGACTTGCCTTCCGTGTCTTATGAGAGTCTCGGGGTAACAGCAGCGGCAACCGGCAAGTCACCTAACTGATGAGACCTCGCCGATGGAGGGGTAACCTCTTGGCGAAACCCTGCCAGATGAGGGGGAAGTCCAAAAAATGTGCGTTGGAAGGAATGTTCACGGATTACCGTTGCGTTCCAACTCATCCGCTGTTCCGCATGGAGACGAGACCTGTGCCAACCAACAACGCCGGCTACCCGCCTGAGACGACGATGCGGAAACGCATCGAGATACGCAAATCAATATGATAGAGTACATGACCCCGACGATGATGAATAGGCCGGTCTTCCAGCGGGTTCAAGATTCCTCGCTGTACGAGGTTTTCACCTGTTGTGTGGCAGCCCTCGGCATATTCGAAGGTCGATTGGACCAGAGACGGGATCAAAACGTGAAATTGCACCCATACTTTTGAGGCTCTACAAGTTGAGCAATCTGGGGATCTGGCAGGCATTCAAAGACAAGACATCTGCGACAATGTTATCACCATCAGAAGCTAACCTTCTTTGTTCGGGCGGTGGATTCCCACCTGTCATCTGAATCACCCCGACTTGCACTGAGTAAGGTATGAATTGTCTCATTGACTCGACGTTTGCGCAACCTTGCGAGTCTCCGTGTCTTATTCTTCACCGCAATCTCGGACTGGAAACAGGTTCCGGTTTCCTTGGATCTCGATGGGCAGGGCCCTCGCGAGAGAGAAATTGTTCTGGGGTTTCACATTCTCATGTCCTGATCTGATAATTAATGGGTACGAGGATTCTGACAGCTGCGCTCCGCGCTGTGCCGCATGTACTTCGTATGCGGGTCACCAAGACGGGTCCCCCGAGTCAACCGGGGGGGCTATCCTGCGGCACCGGCGGGGTCGCGGGGGATCAGCCGCCGACACGCGGGAACTAACCATTTACCAGCAGCACTCAGGGGTGGTTGGCACTTGCAAAGAGCTGGGTCCAGCTGCCTAGAAGTGTACGTCGATCTGGCTTTTCTCTGGGCGCAGAACCACTGCTATCAGTGCCAAGTCGTAAGTCAGGAGGTCAACATCTAGATGTGCTGACTTGCTTTCTGAACACTGACACTCATGATTCATGGGAGGCACTGACCGCTGTTAAAGCAAACTACTATATCGATGGTGATCTTCTCGGCCACGATCAGCCCTTGAAGCTGGGATTCATAAAGCGTGGCTTTGACACTCGTCACTTACGTCCCATCTCAATGACATTTGACAGACGATGACATCCAATCCCGGACCCCTTTCTGGTCTGATATCGAACTGACAGCTCAAAGACAATGCCCCCATGAGAGACTGCGACCCTGAAAAGTTCTTCGTTCCATAGTGCGAGGCCACCCAATCTTGAACTTTCGTTCACTTCCAATGGGTGACGAATGACGAGTCCCCCGCACCTGCGAATTGAACTCTCAGTCTCGACTAATGACTCTCTATCCCATTTACCCGGAAGGGTTGCAAGACTGTGTAAACTCATTAAATTGTTTTAGCTCACGAACCGTCCGAGCGGAACGCCCGTGACCACCTTCACAGTAAAGAACAGCCCCAGAGAAAGAGAGAGTCGTCACACTTGGGCATCACGGTGGCCTGACGTCACGCCGTACCCCCGCGTGCTATGGTCTCCAATAGTTTGGTTCACTAAAAGAAGAAAAAGGGCATGAGAGGGGAAGGTTCTGTAGATATCTATATATACTTTACTCCGTCCGCTGTCAAAATTCTGAAGCACGAACAACTGATGGTAAAAAAGGTTCTTTCTACTCCTTTGGGTTGACTGATTATCAGACACCACCTCGTGAGTTATTCTCCACCCTGTGGCATCATCGTTCCCCTTCATCTTATCCGCTAGAAGCAAATGAGTGAACGTGTCGATTGATTATACACAGAAAATAATATTACAGTAACCTAGTAATGGCATCCTACCCGAGTCATAAGCCTCAAACCCCAAAGCCTCCTGCGCCTATCCCCATCAAGGACGGCGACGACGACCAGGGCGATGTGACGAGAGACTACTAAGAGCCAAGAGGGTAACGCAAAGGCAACATCAAGAGACTGGCTGTGACGAAAGTTGAATGGGATGGACCGACACATGACGTCCCTGTGAATGGAGGAAACCTGAAGGCTGTAATTGAAGAACAAATGAGCTGAGACGGGATGGGAAAGGGGTGAGGCGGGCTATTGTGTGTATCCACCGAGACTGAGAGTTTGTACGATATCATGCAATTTGGTCTACTTAAATGATTCTTCCACTTGCCAAGTACTTACCCGTCACACACCAACTAGACCGGCAGTCCGCTTCACCTAGCCCGGTGAGACTCCCCCATCTCGTCTCGTATTCCCTCGCTGCTTCTCCCCTGCATGTCTACTCTCCCGTCCCAGCTACCCGGGTCTCATAGCCGGCGCCGCTATTCCGGGGCTCCAGACCTCATCAGACCACGCCTCTTCCCCTCTCCCCATGGGGTACGCGCACCTTTGTCTGTGCATCTTGACGTGATGATTGCATCTAGCGGGCATGACTAGCCTCTTTTCCTCCTTGCCACACCCCGCCCTTTCTTCCTTCCCCCTTGTATCCTTCTTCGTGTCCTGCTTGCTCCATGCGTTGGGGCTCACCTGGATCTCGCATGACATTGACATTGACTCAGCTCGTCCTGCCGACAAGGGCATTGCATGTATGTGTATCTGATCTCACAGATGTCTTGCAGGAAGGGGAAGACTCATGTATCTTGATCTCGCATAGAGCTTGGAGGTAAGTGACGGATCTTGCAGAGTGTCTCATCGTACTCTAGTTCCTTGGAACTCGCAGCAAGCGGAACCGCCATTGATTTTGAAGAACATCAGGTGATAGTTACTCAAACATACGTAAGCCTAGACGCACATCTGTATTCTTAACATGACCTCAAAGAAAAGAATGGCCTAGAAGGGGGCAGCCTCATCTAAGTTCATAGGTCAACATGAATCAGCCTGACGGTTTCTCCAGTTCCATGTAACAATATAAGATAAAAGGAATCTGCCGACTTCAGAACCCACGGCATTTCAACGCAGGCAAAGCAGGGTCCGATCTTCCTCTTCATCAGCGGAATCTATTCCATAGCCCACAAAACACTTCGAACTCCCGTCGGAGACACGAAGCCGCCACAATAATATGATCCTCACAGCCCCGAGAACCATCAGAACCAAGCTCCCCCAAACCACTAGCCGTAGTCGTAATCAATCCACCCCAGCCACCACACTCCTCTATGTTCCCGTCTCGCAAGCAACTTCCTTAGGGCCTGTCTCGCGTCAGAAATGACCATCTCAGCTGCACGGAGCCAAAAAAAAAACCGACGATAATGGCAAAATAATGCCCCCTCACGGGATTGAACCGTGGACCTTCGCATGTCGAGCTTACGAGTGCGACGCTCTACCACTGAGCCAAAGGGGCTGGGCGGAGACGATATCGTCGTCCTGGTTGGGTCGGCGAGCGAGACATCTCCACACCGATGCCGGCGTGCTGTGTGGAGATATGACCGACGGCTGTTGAAGAGAGACAAACAGAGGACAACGAGAAAAGAAGCAGGCAAGAATGTGACCAGGGAGAAGTGCGACGTCTAACTTGTTTCTATCAGTACGCAAGAGGATATTGGCGGTTGTTTCCCAGTCAGAAATGATCATGCCTCTATCGGAGCCATGCCCGCTCGTGCCCTTATAGCTTGACACCCAGCGAGCTATCTACGAGAGCCCAAATGCGTATTCTACACAATCCATCTGACAAAGTCCAAGGCCGATCTCCCAATAACTTGATGTGAATCTCCGTGTCGCCATTGTATCGTTAATTCATAGCTCAGTCAAGCTGGAACCGAAGTTTGGATGGGCGTCTTGAGAGTTGACGCGATGCCCTTGGAAAGTTTGGCGGGCTTCTCCTCACTAGAAATGATTAGTGATAAGCTGATGGTGGCTTGGATCAGAGCCTGACTTACTTGCACTTCGTCTCCTCGATTCGCGGCCCCTTTCCTCCTTTGGTTGTTCACCTGCTGTGTCTGCTTCTTTGTTGTAATTTCCGAATAGGTCGAGAATGACATTTTTCGGCAGGGCATTCTACTCCTTCAGTGACAAAATGCCTGGTCCCTTTGGCCACTTGTCCTCCACGTCGATGAGTTGGATATCGCCATCGGCATCCTGATCCCCTTCATTGACAGCAGAGTCAGGCTTTTCCTGATGGCGTTTGGGGACTTTGACCAAGTCGCCTTCTTTGCCCTCTTCCACGTAACAAAGGTAGTACGGATCACCGTTGCTGTTCAGTGTCTTCATGACCTCTTTCGTGTCGGCGTTTTCTGTGACGACCCTGTCATTGTATTTGCGCCAAACTCCGGCTTCAAAATCGTGAATCCAGACCCAGTAGTGGCCGGCTCTAAGCTGACCACTGTGGCAAATCACTGCATGCAAACGATACGCATGCTTCTTGTGTTGCGAAAATAGCTGATCAAGCCCCGCTTTATGGGACTTCAGCTCATCCTCGCGCATGTTGCTGATCTGCTGGCGTCCTTCCACTGTGAAGCCTGTAGGCTCAGGCGGATCCACCTTTTCAAATGCCGGCTCCGACTGTGGGGTGTAGGTAGGGAATGTCGGCTCTTCTCCCGCAAAGCTGAGAGATGACTTGGGCATGTCGTTGAGAAGTGACGACGTCTCCTCGGCATCAGGCTTGTCAACGTGTACAAAGTCAGTGATGAAACTGTCGATGAGTTGAGTATCCTCGGCCGCAGTCTTGGGCATGTTGTTCAACTGGTCTAAGCGCTGTTGAAGAGCCCAGCCTTTCTGCCGCAACTTGAAGAACTGGGGATCGTCCGGGGTATCCATGTACCGGTCAAGATACAACGTCTCGAATACCTCGACGGGGTTCATGTTCTTGTGGCCATCACCCTTCGTTCTCTGGATAAGGACATGCAAGATCGGAGGAAGCTTCTTGATCGACGTGTATCGCATGATATCTGCTTCCCCGGCAGCGACTCGTTGGAGATCGAAGTTACGGCTGAGGCCATCATGTATGTTTGTTGGTCCTCCTTCAGCAGGATATGCCGTGATGGCACGCTCCAGAGTTGAGTCTGATTTGTATTTGTCCTGATTGGGGAATTTCGTATGATTTGTCAGTTCAACGTAGAACGTGTCCATGATCGGCTCCCACTGGACTTCGTCGGCGGCATCTACCCTTGTAGGCTTGATGGCAGCCTGCAGGCGGTTTATGATGCTGCCCATGACCTCTTCAACGTCTTGTTGGTCTGTACCTGAGTCTCTGGTCTGCGTTTCCAAGGCTTTGAGCACTCGCTGTTCAACGTTGAGAACGACTGTCTCGACTCCTGTCATTTTGACATCGTTATCGCTGGCGGATCGGGCCGAAGATTCCTCAACTGGCTTGGAAACGATTCTGATGTCGGTTTTATCTTCGGGCACGTAATCCTTCTTCTCGTGGTCAACGTCAGAAAAGCTGACCAGGGTCTGCGAGCTTACGCTGCTAGCAGACTCAGAGACCGGGTCGATGGTGACGTTAACCATGTCGACGTCCTCGACGTGTTCCGCCGTATGTGTAGGAGGCCCTGGAGCGGGTCTTGCAGGGAGTGGCGGAGGGGCGGGAAACTGAGTACCCATGACCTCCAGACTCTTCGGTTCCTCCGCAGTCTTATTCGGTTGCTTGGCAGGATCTTCGGTCAAGTTCGAGGTTGGCAGCAGGACGGCATTGGCAAGACGTTGGGAAGGTCTGATAGCACTAGCCTGAGAGCCACTAAGATTATCCAAGAGTTTGCTCAATTCATCGACGACTAAGATTATTAGCAGTGGTTCTCCGTGCCTATCATAGCAGAGAAGAACTTACAGGCGCGGGCAACAACCGCCTCGGCACGGTCAATCTTGAGCTTGTTGCCGCCGACAAGCCGGCGTTGGATATTCGAATCGTCCAGACCTAGCTCATAGTCTGGGTAATGGGCAAGCAGGTTTTTGATAGGAATGACGGTGTTGAGATACTGAAGGATGCTGTTCAGGTAACAAGTGTTGCCGATGTTCTCGAGACCGACAGGTAAGTTGTCTGCATTGGGGGGTCTGGCGTCCATCTCCACAGCTTGCGCGGACTGATCTGGGGCTTGAGCCAACAGAGATAAAGTCTTCGCTGCGTCGCGGATTTCGTCACTATTCCTATCCTCAGCGATGGCTTCCATCGCCTTGATCGCGACTTCCTCCGTAGCTTTGCTTTTTGGATCCTTGTTCAGCTGGATGAGTTATTAGCGGGAGTAAATGGTCGTGATTCCAGGTGTACTACTTACCTTGACACTGGACATCATCACTATAGTGCTGTCAGGCCATTGGGGATCTACCTCGAGAATGCGATAGGCTGAGGCGACGTCCATCGGGCCGTTTGCGTGAGTAAGAATGCGATCGCTGTTTCTATGGCGCCCAATGATCTGTAGCATTTCTCGGGCAGAATCAGCTTGAGAGGGGGAGTGTTCGATCTTGGTGTTGAAGGCAGAAACGACATTATCGTCGCTGGCAGTGTACTTTAGGCTGAAAAATTGGTACGCCTGTGTTTGCAACTCGTCGCCTGCGCCAAAGCTGTCTGGAGCGGGCATACCGTCCATGATGGTGAGCTCTTGGATCGCTCTGGTTTGGAAATCGTCGTCGTTTGTGAGGAGAGCAATGTCCTTGAGGGCTTCAACAAACGTAGGACGGCGTTTCTCGCAAAGGGCCGACTGCCGAGTATAAGCAAAAAAGATGAGTGCCTTGTCGAAATCTGGAAGCACTCCAAGAGTCCGGTGCGCTTCCGTTGCTGTTTGTGCAACCTTGTTTTGAGGGTAGTCAAGACACTGCAGCTCTTTAAAGAGCCTGTTGCCGACATAGGGCCTGTTTTCGCCAGTCTTTCCGCCTCTTATTATGACACTTTCCGTCTCGGCCTGCATATCCTCAACGAATGCCCGCAATGCGCTAAGTTCCGTTGGCGTGCCGGGAGTGCCAGGTTCGAGAGTAGGCGGAATGAAATAAGGCTCAAGAACCCCATCCTTATCAAGATTCTCCTCCGTGAACATGATGGCTCTGAAAATGACATAGCATTCTTCACCAAATACGACTTGAAAGCGCTTGTTACGCTGAGATATGTTGCGTGGATTGGGCCTGTCCAGCAAATCTCTGAGATATGTGTTCAGGGTGACTGGAGCGCTTGTGCACCAATCGTCTCTTGCGTCCGCGAATCGATCCGGCGACTGCTTCCTGGCTGCCGCCAAGTTATCCAGAATACGCTGCTCGTTGAGAAGGAGGTGCAGCCACTCGCGCTTGAGCCGGGGTCGTGAAATCTCGACCGTGACTTGCAGTGTGCAGCGAGGAGCGGAGCAGGCGAAGTGCTCAACGGCCAGTATAGTCTCACGAATGAGAGGATGGTAGTTTGATGTCGACTTGGTTGGTCGAACAGGCTGCTTGATGTTCACGAGATGATGAAGGTAGAAATCCGTGTCTTTTGGGGGGAAATGGAGAGCGTTAGGGCGACACAGACATACAAGTTGATCTGCGTCCCAACAGGTCCTGATCAAGAAGTGGAAGTCGCAGATCGCACAAACGCAAGACAACACGCCAGGGTTGCGAGTGTCTGCCGTACTCTGGTTACCCACGAGGACGAGTCGATGCGGTACTCCTGCTTTGCTGCAACGCGCCTGTTGGTCCCATTCGATTCTTGCGAAGGATCCGGAATCAAGGTCAGAGTTGAGCAAGTCTTGGATCCACCTCGGGGCAAGGCGTCCTAGAGAAATGTGAGCATCTGATATCAACAGTCGACAGTAGAAATGTGGATTGATCATGATGACGTGAATCTCAAAAGCACAACCCGTGCTTATTTGGAATGTCCAACGTACCAGTCTTTCCAACCATGTTTTCTTTGACCGGCGCAGGGCTGCCTTCCCAGTGCTGGGCAGTTGGTGAATCGCTCGGTGACATGATGGAGTATTGGTCTGAAATGGCCATGCTTTAATGCCTCTTTCGATGTGGTAGGCGGAGTGGTGAACTAGAAGCTCACGGCAACAACTCGACTGGATGATGCAGTGTAGATAGACGGCTCGATCGAAGCCTCAAATACGACTCCCGAATCGTCATAAGCTTCCCGCAAAAGGCCGCTAATCACGGGTAGGTCGCAGTATGCGGATATGTATGGTTTCGATGTAAGTGCTCGGCCAAACTGATAGTTCAACGTGGGCAATAGTGCTTCGGGTGGATCGACGGTCGGTCGTGATTATTCCTCGTTTATATTCTGGTCTGTAAAAGTCAAAGACTCTCGCAACCGTCGGCGGGAGTATCTATGCTCGTATTCGGAGACATGCAACTTGGTGTATGTTCGGCGGAGGATTGGTCGATCGGAATGGCAGAGTAGGTTTCGTTAGCCGCGGGGTCCTGAACAAATATTAGTCGAGAATAGCGAGACCGGGTTGTATTATATAAGAGAGGACGAACAGCGAAGCGACTTCTTTTGTCGCGGCTGGTTGGTTTGGCTTTGTGGTCTGGAGTGTTTGTCGTGCCGGCCTCAAACGGAGGCCACACCCAATTCGTGCGGTGCAGTAGGCATGCGGGGTGGGGGGGGGGAGCGGCAGAAACAGCGACGACGGCAAGAATGCAAGCAGAGCTTGGGGTATCTAAATGCAGAGGTAAACAAGTAAGAAGACTGAAGACCCCAAGAAAAGATGACAACCTGAAAACTGTCCGAAAAGGAGGATGGTAAACAATTACGCCAGCTTCAATGCGTCAAGGATAGGGACGGACGGGCAAGAGCTACCTCATGCGACCTGAAGGTGGGCGGGCAGTGTGGTGTGTGGCGGGGATCGAGACGTAGACAGGCTGACGCAGCTGGTAGCCTTGCACTAAGCTGTCGCAGTTGAAGGAGCTTAGGTCACCTGGAAGGTACTTTGCCAACGACAGGAAGCTTCCCCAGTGAGGTACCTCAGGTAATATATTGCCGCCAACCTCGTCACCGCCTGCCGAGTTCTTTCAGGTCGACCCCCGGCTCGGCATGGGGCGATTAAGGTAGGTACGGCGCCTGTGGCTAGAGCCTAGAATCACATGGAATGCAGGGATATGGCTTCCATCAATGGTCGTCGGGATCAAGATCAGGTGACTTGGCGAGCACTAGGTGAGCTGAGTCATCAGGCAAATTGCAGCGCCTAATCCTTTCCCCCAGCAAGCGACCCAACCAAGATACCTGCTTCCTTCTCAAGGACCTTCAGAAGAACCGAGAAAACTACGCCAAACCAAATGTGAGTTTATCCTCTCAAATCAAGACACTTCAGGTTGCTCCATCATGTAAGATATCGACCAATTCCACCATCTTAACTCAATAAACAAATAAACAAATTACTTGCAAGACAGACACACCTCACCGAGCCGTTACGCAGTTGACCTTTGCACGTAGTCTGATTGGCTTCACACCGACAAAACACGTGACTGACCCGGAGGTGGAGCACCTGTCGTGGAGCTTCAACCTGACCTCAAACTTCCGCAACATCCCTCACCAACTTCTTTTCCAATTGAGTGTCTGGCCCGCGACTCCGAACCACCCCGCAACCATGGCCGGCGACCACGATACGTACCACTCCAAGGACGCCATCAAGGCGGCCATCTCCTCCTCCGCCGCCCTTGGTGGTGCCGGCTTCTTCATTGCCGCTGTCCACAATGCCCTCCAGAAGCAGAATGTTGGCGCCATGTCCGTCTTCACCCGTAGCGGTGGCATCATCGCCGTGATGGGTACGTCGTCCAATTGCCTTTTGCAAAGCTCAATTGGAAGGGTTTCATTACTAACGAATGTGCGCAGCGATTGGTGGCGGCGCATACGGCTTCACCAAGTCGGCAATGGCCAACCTGAGAGAAAAGGACGACCCGTGGAACACCGCGACTGCCGGCTTCCTCGCCGGTTCAATTCTTGGAATGACAAGTATGGATACAATCCCCGATTTTGGAAAGATACAAGCAAGACAGGTTACTTACAAGTCGCGCCTCAAACAGCCAGAAGAATGCCTGTCGTGCTCGGCCTGGGTGCTGCCTTCGGCGCATGGCAAGGAGTGTTCGAGGTTACCGGCGGACGCCTCAGAGGATGGAACACGGCCGAAGTTGACGAGGTTGATTTCGAGGGCAAGCTCGCACAGCGCGCTGCCAAGAGACGCCCGATCGAGGAGACGATTGCAGAGCTTGGCGAGGGCCGTGGTATGTTCAGATTTCGGAGTACGGGGCTTGATATCCCACGGAGGGCTGACGCATTACAGGAATCCGGCCGCCGGGCTACGAGGAGCGGAGACGCGAGCGGCTTAAGGAGAAGTACGGTGTTGAGATCAACCCCGTCAAGGCGACCGTCGAGTAAAACAAACCCCAAACGAAACATCAAAACCATCACCACCACCTGCCCACCACCCAGCCCAGCGAGGCATGCTCTTTATTTCCCGTTGCTTGTACATACACACAGCCTGCGAATCACGTGGGCACGAGAAGAGGAGTCTCATCGGCTAGAGGAAATGGAGAATTGTACTATTTTTTTCTCATGCTCCCCGAGCTTCCGCGTGATGTGTGCCTGTCTCCAATGACGCACCGCCAACTGCGTCACAACAACGGTACGTTCTTGCATAATGCTGGCTTTTGCCAACTCAATGATGATACAATAGCTTCAGAGGCTGTTTATGAATTATTTTATGATTCGACCCATCACCGTTCTATCATTTGTCTGATTTTGAGTTTCTTCTTTCGGAATGCTTGCATCTAGATGTCTCCGACATTTACTAACAGGGAGTCGGCTTCTAGCAGCAGCAAACAATGCCAGGTCTTTCGGCATCTCCGCAACAACCTCATCTACCATTAGTAAGTTGTTTTGTCAATTGTTTCCCCCTTCCTATGATGATACAATAGCTTCAGAGGCTGTTTATGAAATCACTTCATGATTCGACCCATCACCGTTCTATCATTTGTCTGACTTGGCTTTTCAACACTCATGTTCGTGCATTTCATTATCTGTAGCCAAAACTAACATACAAAACAAGGCCTTACGTCAGCACGCCATGCCGAACCTCCAACCCATATCATCGGCAGATTTCAAAGGTGAGTCTTCTCAAGTTCCTCATCTTTGCCCCCTCTCTCCTGATGATACAATAGCTTCAGAGGCTGTTTATGATCTACATGATTCAACACATCACCGTTCTATCTTTTTGTCTGATTCACGATTCAAGTCCACGATTCTTTGCATTTGACCGCTTTCCACGGATTCTGACATCGTTTTCGCCAGCACACCCCTAAACATGGACCAAGATCAACTTGATGTTGTCGGAGTAAGTCTTTCTATTGGTTTCACTTCACATTTCCTGTATGATGATACACTAGCTTCAGAGGCTGTTTATGATCTTCATGATTAGACCCATCAACGTTCTATCATTTGTCTGATTACACTTTATTTTTCCTCATCAATATTGCATTCTTGTCGATTTGTCAACTCGTACTGACAGCGATGCCTAGGCTCTCAATTGCTAGAAACTTGCACAAAGCCTCTAGAGATGGACTAGAAAAGCAAGGAACAGAAACCACGGATGGACGCTTGATGTGCCATCAGGTACCCCTGAAGACTCTTCACTTTTCAGATCAAGGCACCAGAGCGCAATGCCCCATATCGTATGAATAGACTCTCATTGCAGCACATGCCACGACAGAACGACAGCCACGATGGTTCTCATCGCGGAGTTTGGTAAGTTTTGGAATCTCTCTCGTTACTCGCTTCCCTCACATGATGAATCACTAGCTTCAGAGGCTGTTTATGAATTATTTCATGATTCGACCCATCACCGTTCTATCATTTTCTGATCTTCTTCACGCCCCAAATTCTTGGCCTTACGCATTCATCGGGCCTCGGCATTAACTGATCATTAAACAGATAGCTCTCAAGACCCGGACCTTGAACCCCATGGGTGTGAGAAACTCTCACAGACGATGAGCCTTTGGTGCAAACTTTTGGTAAGTATCCCTCATATCACCCGCATCACCCAACCAACCCCTCCCTCATTATATGATGAGACTCAGCTTCAGAGGCTGTTTATGATTACAATCAACATGATTCGAAACATCACCGCTCTATCAGTTTCTGACACCCCTTGCAACCCTTCACCTCCTCTTATTTGCGGACGCAGTACGCACTCTTAGTACAGATGGCTGACCTTCGCTGCCAGATCTTTTCAGCAGTGTTTCCTGCATCTCCATCATGATGAACGTCCTTTGCCATTGATGCTTATTCGTAGCAGTTCCACGACGATGTGCAACTCTGCGTCCATGGTACGTTTCCAGCTCGCTCCTCCCTTTCCGTCATCCCCAACCGGTTACTATGATGATATTCAGCTTCAGAGGCTGTTTATGAATGTTTTTTATGATTCAAACTTTTATCGTTCTATCATTTGTCTGATTCGTTTCCTCTACCACACGGCTACATATACCGCTCGTTGAATATGCTACACAAGGTTCTAATACTCTCAACTCTCTAGATGCACTCCGCTCCATATTGGCACTGTAACAGTATCACATTGAGGAACCTGTTGTTTTTCTACATGTCTTCCAATGTAGTTCTATCGTCCTCAATAAAACCCATCTTGAGCAGCTAGCATTTGGACCGTAATATTGTACACCAGTGACCTAGACCCCAACTCCCTGCGCAAACTTATCAAACCAAAGCAGCCATCATAGGAACCATCTTCACAAAGTCTTGACAGACTGGAAAAAGGGGTTCGCAAGCAGCTTCTCATCCGCCATGACGAGCCCCTTGAGCTTGGACACCATTTCCTCCTTACTCATCTGCCCAGCGGCGACCTCCTCCTTCCACTTAAGCAGCACCTCCTTAAGCAGCGCGCTACCCTCCTCGATATCCGTCTTGCTGTACTTGAGCCCAAGGTCCTCGTGCTTGGACGTGAAGTCCTCCAGCTCATCAGCCTTGCGCTTCGCCATCCGCACGACCTTGTCGGGAAACCGGACCAGCTCTGCCACGTGAATGCCGAAGCTCTGGTCGCACACGCCGTCGTCGACCTTGTACAGCAACGTCACCTCGCGCTTGCTGTTCTCGCCGCCACCGCTGCCGCCAATGTGCGCGGTGACGTGCAGGTTGTGCACCGGCGGGTGGTCGTCCGCCAGGGCCGTTAGCTCGTGAAAATGCGTCGCGAACATGGCGAAGCAGCCAATCTCCTTGACAATGTGTTCCGAAATAGCCCACGCGAGACCGAAGCCGTCGTACGTTGATGTGCCGCGACCGAGCTCGTCAATGATGATGAGCGACTCGGCCGTTGCCGATTTGAGAATGTTGGCCGTCTCGAGCATCTCCGCCATGAAGGTGGACACGCCCTTGAGTTGGGAGTCGCTGGCACCAACACGCGCCAGGATGGAGTCGAAGATAGTCAGCTCGGCCTCGCTGCAGGGGACGAAGCAGCCAATCTGGGCCATGAGGGCGATGACGCCGATCTGGCGGATGTATGTTGACTTTCCGCCCATGTTGGGGCCAGTGATGATGAGGAATGAAGACTTGTCGCGCGTCAAGGAGACATCGTTCGTGATGAATTGGACATCGTCTTGCATTTCCAGACATGGGTGACGAGCCTCCTTCAGTATTGTCTGGCCTTCGCCCCGCTTGTGAATCTTGGGTCGGACATATTCCGAAGGTGCATGGACGGAGCAATGTGCGAGGGAAACGATGACGTCCAAGTGTGCCAGGACACCAGCGAGTCTCTCCAAGACTGGGCAGTACGACGCGGCTACGCCGACGACCTCGTTGACTAAACTGCTCTGGGTTCTGTTGTAATTCTGCGAGAGCTGGTCAAACTCGCGACGGAGACTTTGTAGGGTCTTCGTTGTGAAGTAGACACCATTCTTCTGGGTTGAGCATTCCTGGTAGCCCGACTTGTTGCGAATCGCACCGGCTTCTTGTCTTGTAAGCCTCATGCAGTATCCGTGGACCTTGTGGTTCTCGAGGAAGATCTTCTTGCCGACTTCCTGCTTCAAGTCGCGAGCGGCATCCGAGAACTGCTGGTCGATGTCCCTCTTGAGCTTGTCCAGCTTCTTCCTGATGATCCGCAAGTTGTCGTCAAACTCTGGCTTGATGATATACTCATGATTGTCGAGCGCATCCAAGTCGACCGTGGTTTCCACCATCTCCGAGAGCTTTGCAAGACTATTGGAAAGCTCACGGAGAGGGGTTGTATACGCTTCGTCCAAAGGATCTCTGTAGGCTTCGTCCATGACACCCTCCAGGGTTCCCAAGAAGCCGGGCACACGGATGATGACCTGATACGCACGAACAACGTCCTCGAGGTTTGCCTTGCCCCTCTGGAATCGCTTGGCGAGGCGGTACAGATCCGGGACTGAGCGAAGGTGCTCCTCTTGCATAGTCTGCCGGAGCTCAGTGTCGTTGACGAATGCCTCGACAAGCTGCTGGCGCTTCTCGATCTCCTCCTTGTTCATGAGGGGTTGCTTGAGCCACTGCGACAGCAATCTGCTACCGACAGGTGTCTTGCAGTGGTTCAGCAGACCGTATAAACTCATAGACTTGGCACCATCGCGGGCACCAGGCATCAAGTTGAGAGCCTTGAGTGCCGCTGCATCTAGCTTCATGAACTGTGAGAGATCATGCTGGTACAGCTGGTACTGTCCAAAGTTGGACGAATCATGGAGAACGCCGAGGTACTTGATAAGCGCCGCGGCTGAGCCCATGGCCAACTTGAGGTCAGTTTGTGGGAGGAGAGTGGTGGCGCGTTCGTCCTTCAAAAGACGTGCCAGGTCCTGCTCGATATCCTTTGTGCCGAACTCGCCAGCAGACCGCTCTGAGACAGCTACGCCGCAGTTGACGATGATCTGCTTGAGCTTCGCCAGATCGGGATCCTTGTTCTTATCGGCCTTGTCTGTCTGGACAAGACACTCTCTGACACCGAGCTGGATAAGAAGGGCCTCGAAGTTGGAGAAGAGGTCGTTGTCAAGGAACTCGCTGACACCTAGCTCTCGCACACTGGCATCGGCGAAACAGACACCCACACTCCGGGCCTCCGAGGCCTTTGTCGAGATCTTGACGGCAAGCATCATTGGGGCTGACTCGATCTGGCCACCCAGATCCTCCTCCACATCCTGCAGGTTGCCAGGCGAAGCCTGCTTGACAACCTTCCAGTTCATGCGGCCGCCGGTGCTCTCCCATATCTCAATTCTCTTGCCCAGCTTGAACAGTGCTTCTCGGAGGAATTGTCGAAATACCGTGACGGTCATTGTCACTGAGGCGAGCCCCGTCTTCTCATCTCGGCCGAGTGTCCTTACGACGGACGTAGTCTTGTATACCTAGGAAAGGTCAGTCCGCAATTCCTTGTAGTGCAGAGGTAACGTGGAGGTCAAGACGTACTGTGCGGGCAATGAAGTTGGCATCTTCGCTATGTGATGTGTACCAGTCGCCTCGGTCGAATATGCGGACTGTGTCCTCATGGACAGCCGGGAGTGACTTGAAGAAGCGAATGAAGCCGTGTTCATCGTCGACCTATCGCAATGACGTATTAGCAATGCGTTTGGGGTCGCCATTGATTGGGGAACAAACCTTCAATTCTGGCCGGGAAGACATTATGAGGAGGGTATCGGAAGGAATCCAATAGTGAGCGAAAGGACGGAAAGCAAAGTCGAGTTGAACAGCCCGGGTGGTGTAATCAGTGCGTGATACCCAGCGTGTGGTGCTTCTCAAGAGCGAGGAAAGTTAAAGTGGTTTCCCAGTGTGGCGCGTCTGGAAATCTATCTGGCAGAAAGACGCGACGCGATGGCGCTAGTACAGATTTGGCGCCACAAGTTCAGACCGCTCTCAAATCTGCCGGTACTAACAGTGCATTCGCACTACCACAGCTTGCCATCACGAAGATGCTGAGACCATGAATGCCATCCAGCGGGCTTCCCTACGTCTAAGAACCTCAAACTCATTAGTCCAGAGTATACAGTTTCCAGAAATTCGCTCAGTTTCACGCCAAACCGCCATTCAAGGCAAACAGCTATACCTCGAAGTTGGTACTTTATGCATCAAGACTTTGGCACCGTCGACAGCAAGCATCCAGTCTTTTCCGGCACTTGATCTCACATCGTACCAGAAATACTACAGTCCCATAGAATTCTCTCCTCATACTTCGGCCTAACCAGCCCCACGTTAATGCTGCTCAGATCACTGCAGCTCAGAACGCGAGTTCTCTGTCGCGCCGGCGTCGCTGCAAGGGAGAGAAGCTGCTGCACAGCTCCAACGACTGCCCCGCATTACGCCCCAAATAGCTTAGCGTCTTTCTCCAACCTTCCCGCGCGCCAGCAGCTGGGCAACGACCATCGCAGGTGGTCATCGCCAAAATTTCGCAAAAGTCCCCCACTTCGCTACCTAAACTCTGCATCGACGTCCAGCTCGACCACCGCACCAATGGACACATCCGCAGCAGAACCCGTCAATCAGCCAGCCAAGGACCTCGAGATGTCCGGAACCGCTCCAGAAACCGCCGCCGTCGCATCCTCGGCCGCCAATGGCGATGTCGCAGCAGCAGCAGCAGCAGCAGCACCGTCCACCACCACGGCCAGCGTGGTAGGAGGAGCGCAAGCCGCCGAGGAAAAAGAAGGCGAGGAAGCCGACGTGGAATCCGCCGGTCCAGCTGCAGAGGGAGAGGGCGCCTCCGAAGAACCCAAAATCTCAAAGAACCAGCTCCGCAAAATGAAGCGCAAAGCCGCCTGGGAAGACGGCCGCGAGGACCGCAAACGCAAACGCAAAGACAAGCGCCACGACAGACAAGTCGCCCGCCGCGAAGAGCTCGCCGCCGCCGTAGCCGAGGCCGAAGCAAAAGGCATCGACCCGTCCACCGTCACCATCCCGCCGCGGCGCAAGATCCCGCGCGTGCCCCCGACCCAGGTGCCCATCACCCTGATCCTCGACTGCGCGTTTGAAAAGTACATGCTCGAAAAGGAGCAGGTCTCGCTCGCGAGCCAGATTACCCGGTCTTACTCGGACAACCGCCAGTCGCGGTACCGCGCGCATTTGTACGTCAGCTCGTACGGCGGGCAGCTCAAGGAGCGGTTCGAGGGGACGTTGGGCAGCCAGCACGTGCATTGGAAGGGCGTGAAGCTCGTCGAGGGCGACTTTGTCGCGGCGGCCAAGGACGCGGACGAGCTCATGCGGGGCCCCCGCGGCGGCAAGATCATCGACGTGCTGAACCCCACAGAGGAAGACGGCACACCGGCGAAGAAACCCGCCGTGTTTAGAGACATCATTCACGACTCGCCGAACCCTGACCCCGAACCCGAACCCGCGGACGAGCTGAAGAACATTGTCTACCTCTCCTCCGATTCGGTAAACACTCTCGACCGCCTCGAGCCCAACACGAGCTACGTTATTGGCGGCCTCGTCGACAGGAACAGGGAAAAGGGCCTGTGCCACCGCCGCGCGCGCGAAATGGGCATCCGGACGGCCAAGTTGCCCATTGGGGAGTACATGAACCTGTCGAGCCGGAGGGTCCTTGCGACGAATCACGTTGTGGAGATTATGCTCAACTGGCTCGAGACGGGTAGCTGGGCCGAGGCGTTCCTCAAGATCATCCCCAAGCGCAAGGAGGCGAAGCTGAAGGAGGAGGGCGCGGGTAGTGCTAGCGGGACGCCGGGTGCTCAAGGTGAGGGTGAGGGCGATGATGTTGAGGATAGCAGGTTTGATGAAGAGAATGACGAGGATGTGTATGAGAAGCAGACCATCACGGAGACCGTGGCGGCGCCTGAGTCAACAGAGGCAGTTCAGGAGAACGTGAAGGACGAAGTGAATACATCATAGCCAGGCATGGCAGGCGATCAGAGAAAAAGTGATAGAATACCCCCTTTGCTGTTTGGCATCAAAAAGACAAAAAAAGACCACAAACACCAACCCAATTAACCAGAGGCCCCCCATCATACAAAAGTCGTGTCGATTTGCTTTCAAAATTCCATGCTATCCTCCTCCCTTTCCCTCTTGACCTTGACGTCCCTCTCATCCTTCATCAAGCCAATGACAAACGACCGGAACTGTTCCACGTACGGCTTCAAGCTCGTCTTCTCCCAATCCTGCACCCTCTGCTGCTGCGACCCGCCCTCGACGTCCTCGTCGCCACCCTTCCACGCGTCAATCTCCGCCAGCAGGCTCTGCACCGTCGGCACGGCCAGCGGGTCAAAGTCCTCGAGCTTCTTCGTGTCGATCGGCACGCACACCCTGCCGGTGCCGGGGTGGACGACAAAGGGCGACTTGAGCAAATGGTTCAGCTTCTTGCTGACCTCGATATCGAGGCGCGGGTACGTGTACTCGAGCACAATGTCCTGCTTGGCCTCGAGCAGCGCCTTCGCGTCGAGCTTCTTGCTCGCGCCGCTCTTGGCCACGGTGTCGATGTCGGCCCACTTGGCGATGGATGACCGACCCGGCGCCGCGTCCCACTTCTTGCGGAGGGATTCGTTGAGGTCCCTGTCCGGGAGGAGTTGGAGCAGACGCTCCGCGCGCTCGTTGGAGGCCCAGGGGTCTTGCGCCTCGAGGACGTCTTCTTGGAAGTGGGATTTGAGAGTTTCCAAACTCCGTCTGCGGCCATGTTAGTTAGTCACTGGTCGTACCCAACATTCAGACATCACCTACGAAACGTGAGGGTGCAGTGGCCGCCACAGATTGACCTTCTTCCCGCTCTGCGCGCCGCCCTTGAGAACCTCCAAGTACCCCGCGATAGATCTACGCATCTGATCGCCCATCGTCCGCGCCTTCTTGTCGCACACCCACGCGTGGGCACCTCTTCGTCCAGAGTACACCCACATAATGTGCTTGAACCCAAAGTCGTCCCGCAGCGCAGCGTCGACGACCTTGATCGCCATCGTTATGAACTGCCAGCACTTGTTGCAGATGTTCGCCTTGTCGCAGCACGTTCTGATGTCGTCGTAATCTGTCAAATCGATATCGAAGCACAGCTCCTTGGCGAGGGGCTTGAATGCGCTGGCGTTGCGGAGGGTCTTGCGGTCGCGCGGGTTCGTGGTGTAGACGGGTCCGATTTCGAAACGGGAGGGCATGAGACGGAGGACGTCTTTTCGGAGGCTGGGGTGCGAGGTTAGTTTGGCGTGAACTCCCCGGCAGGAGGAGTGGAAAGATGGTCTTTAACTTACAGATCATGGCTCGCAAAGGACTGATATCGCAGGTATGCGTCGTTCTGCAGCGTGAAAGCGAATTCCCTATGGCCAAAGTCGTTCGTCGGTGATGGGCTGTGGTTCAGCCATTGGAAGAGGTATCTCCAGGGAAATAAGCGCTGGTAAAAACTGCGCATCACCTCGGGATCCGATGCCTTGAGGTCTGCGACATCTCTGCGCCTGGTATTAGCAATTGCCCCTCCATTCCATGTCGGGCAACCCACGTTGGAGAAGGGGGTGTAAGGACCCCGTCGGGACTCGATGAGGGGGCGTCTTGTGGTTTTGAACTGGGGAACTCGTCGTCCGAGTCGGCATCCGCAAACAAGTCGTCCAGCTTGACCTCAATCTTCTCTTCAGTGGCCGTCGCAGGCGCCTCAGCCTCCTCCATCGCTACATCGCCGTCCGTTGCCTGGGTGACATTTTCGGGGACGGTGGAATCGGCCATTGTGTCGTCGGCCATCGCGGTTGTGTTGGGAGGTTTGCTTGCTTCTGGCGAAACGGAATGAGGCATCGCTATACCGGTGAGGGTGGTTGGAAGTGACAACCTCGTGGATTGCTCTGACAGTATCGGTCACTATGTCTTGGTGGGCAATTTGCTGGGGCAACTTTGCGGGCGGGCGTTGATTAACAGAGGCGCGTCGGGAGACGCGTTTTCTCGCGTAAAGAGCTGGGATGGACTGCTAAGTGGCTTAGTCATTAGCGGACTGAACCCAACTTCATCTCCTTCCCTCTGTTGTGCAATGGCCAGTCTACTACTCTCTCTTGTCTGGACGATGCCGATATGTTTTTGATATTTTCAATTCGCTTCAGCTGCTGGCTGCTTTCTTCAATGAATACTAATCATTTCGGTGTTCTGGATTTTTTAATCCTCATTGCATCATTGAGACGCAGTCCACTAGACCCGGTCTTGAAGCACGGGCAAGGAGAACATGCATCATTCTCGCCCGCGCAAAGTCGTCCACTATTGATCTCATCTCACTGATATACGTAACCCCTGCCAACATCCAATCCAATCTCAACCGCCAGATTATAGGTAGGGCACCAGAAAAAGGTGAATGGTGAGATTCAAATAGGCAAAATAAATAAATAGAAAAAAGGAAGGAGGGGAGGGGGAATACTGACCTTATAATTCACGCCCCTGTCCGGATTCGAACAGCGCGCCCCTCGTCCCAGCACGGGAGTCATTGAAGTATTTGTTTTATATCGACTCTGCGTCAGAGCCGATACCACTCGGCCAAATGCCCAATGCCGAAGCATTGAACACTTGGGAGTGGGTGCTGGTGACAGGAACAGCGTTGTGGAGGTATATATGAGGTCAACTGGGAAGGACCGTATGGTCACTCAAGTATACTTGCCTGAAGGCGCCTGCCTGCCTTTGCATTATCAGCACCTTCCTTCCGAGGGCGTCAGAAAACAAAGGCGTCAACAAGGTCAAATCTTCCTTCTTGATCCCGATTCTTCAAGTTCCCCTGCTTGCGTATCAATGACAACGCTTTCATGGTTCGGGCTTTAGCCCATTTCGCTAAACCTGATCCCCTTTCCCTTCCAAGTGAGCCTCTCAGCTCTCACCAAGCCGATTTGATGTCGGATTCCCACAGCCCCGTCAATATTGACCGTCTTGATGCATATTACGACCTTAGAGTCGATTTACAAGACTTCAGCAAGCAAGCAATCGCATTTCACGACCAACTGCTTCCCTATCTTACAAGAACAAGATCGAGTGAGGAACCAATGCCCTTGACGATTTATACGAGGAGCCTATCAGGTAATCTCTCCTGCTGCACAACATATTTCCGAAGTCCCTCACTCGTCCGCGGACCTCATCGGCAGCATCACCATAGTAAATCGCTACAAAGCCGCGAAAAGGCTTGAATGGTGGCCCCAATACCAAGTATCATGGTTGGGCCTCCCTCTCTTGGGGAGCCGTTGACGCTGTTTGCAGGAGTACGTCACGAGGGGGAGCAGACCTAGTACTGGTGTCCTCTACGAGTACATTGCATTGACACAAGGTATTTACTTAGTCTATATGGTTCCCGTGGTGTATCATTGCATGGACGAAAGGTGCACCGTGACCTGGGCCTACAGATGACCGAGTTTCGTTGAGCCTAGTCGTGGATGCTGCTGAGAGCAATGCAGACGCCGGGGAAATGGGTGATTACTTTCTTACCAGAGGGTGTCTCTCAGGGGAAACGTGCAACTTTTGATTGCTCTTCGATGAAAGATCTGTAAAATCTGCAGTGCAATGATTTGTGTTGATGGATACCACGGAAGCATCATTTAGAAGAGCAGCAGCCGTTGCGTAATTCCCAAGACGGGTTCCCACCGCTGCCATCCTCTTGTGAAGAGACACAGAAATTGTGAGATGGGGGCCTTAGCAATGGTAAGTATGTCGGTAGGACTGACATATCTGTGCTCTGAGCCATTGGTACCAAGGTAATATCAAGCGCAAGATCGTTTGCTCTCGACCTACGGCCTCGAACGAACGCCCAAAAGAAGTGTATTCATACGAGATCAGGGAAATGACAAAGTAGATACGCCAGTGGAGCCCAGCTTTTTCAAGCTGGTATTCCATGTTGGAGACAGGCATCCATCGGATACCATAAAACAAGGGGAAGGGGGCCAGAAGTGATCATGGTCAACTCCGGCATTCAAGTGACTCCTGCAAGGTCTACTCCACCGAGCTCTCCTCGTCCCTATGGAAGTTGAACGTGGGCTTGTCCGAAAACCTCGGATACCGTAAGCTGACCTGCTGCATATCCTACTATATGTGACCGAAAGCGGTGAGCCGCTGGCTTCTCTCATAAAGGAGAATCACGGCTATGGTCTGTCCTTGCAAGCCTACCTTACCCGGGGGAATACGACTAATGCTTTCGCCTAGAAATCATCGCCATTCGCGTACCAGGGTAAAGCCATCGATACCACAGAAACCGGCCACTCCGACGTTGTCAGCACAAAGGTCCGATAGAGGACGTGATGAAGTCAAAACCATTGCCTTGATACAACTTGAACTCCAAGCATGATACCATTTAGTCGGCAAAACTGCAGGCTCCTGGTTTCCGCTGCATGCATTCAGTTGGCTCATGCCGGATAGATCCCACCCCCGAGTGACGATGACCTCGTCGGCATATCTTTGAGCATCAAATGTCCCGCGCCGTTGCTCTATCCCTATAGGAAGCAGCTAATTAGCTCTCGGGCGACGAGGTGACTTGACCGGCTGCGCCCAGCAGAGAGTAAAGCCTGCATAGACAGTACCAAACAACCAATAGGTTCAACTCCATGGTAGATTCAGCCCTTGGAACGGCATCTCGCCCGAAATTGAGCCTCATTGGCTAGTTGAGTCTGCTGAGTTTCGTCAGGCTGCAACGGAATGAGGACACCCAAAGTTCCTCATATCCAACCAAGACGGATCTGGTCAAGGGTTCATAAGGGTCTTCTTGTGTAACGTTGACAAGAGCATGAAGGATACGCATGTCAGCTGGCGATTGTTCAATGGTAAATCTTGACACGATGTCCGAACCTCGCCTTCATGCCAGTGATGTGGAATCAGATGTGGAATCAAGAAGGGTCTTCAGT